AAAGCAAAAGTAACCAAGAGAGCATTTGCTCAATTTTCCTAAAGAAGACTTTGTTGAGTTATTGTTGAGGTGATAAAAGCAAGTTAAACATTTGTACTAGTGGATCACTTGACAATGTGATAATTTGCTTTGGGGAGTTAGTTGTATCAGGGTATGTAATGGTACAGCACATGTTAGTTGGTTCTCTAGGTTTCCAAAACCTTTTTAATTCACTGTGTCACTATGGATAATAAATCATATTTGCATACGGCATGTACCTCAGTTATGCTCTCACTGATATCCTTGTTGCCTTCCTGTGTTCCATGGCACAATCTGTTGATTACTTCTTGGAATGATGATAATGCAACCTACATGTAAAATGAACGCAATATTTGGTACTTTGTTTGCAGATTTTATTCCTCTAAGCATCTTATAATTAACATTTATTGTTTCAATTTGGGAAATTTTATACTGCAAGGCAATCTATGTACAGGTGTATGTGTGCTGTAAGAAAGTGGCCCTCACCTCAAACTCACACCTTGACAATATTGCAGATATTGCTTTAGTTGTGTGTTCCCTGATGCTAAGTTGTGGATGAACAAGCAGAGAGAACAGAACAGAGTGGACAGAGGACATAATAAATTCCGGCAGTGATGTCAAAATTGTCAACCCAAACTGAAACAAAAGATAGACATACAATATAACAGTACCACAAACTCACTGACCAGTACATTTACATTATTTTCAAGATACATGTTGGGTATGTTCAGTTATTGGAGATAGGTTCAATGTACACTTTAAGTTCTATTCTGGGCCCAGTTTTTCAAAAGATAGAGAATGTTACCCTGCAGATACATCGTTATTCAGAAACTATCCATGTAAGTGTTAACAAAATATACGGCACTATCCACCGGATAGAGCTTTATCCAGTGGACAGAATTATCCATCCTTAAAACAAATGAAGCCTTCACTGCAGAATTAAGGCTTACATGGTTATTCATACTCAAATAATTTAAAAGGCTTTTTTGTGTCTTATTTTGCAAAAGGAATTACCTTGATAAAAACAATTCATAAAAATGCATGATTTGCTGTTAACGCAAAACACAACAAAATTATTTTTACATTTAACTTGATCAGGTACAACTTGCATGGTGGGTGTTAAAGTAATTCAATGGAAAGCAAGTGACAAGGTTTAATAAATTGTTTAAGTTTCCACATTTGTTATCATATGATGCATAATACTCACATTAGCAATATACGTACAGTGAATACAGAGAAAATAAACAAGGGTCTTGATGGAAAGGAAGCTTATTCTTTGCCCCAGGACATAACAGTTAATACTTAGAGATGGACCAAAATATAACATGGATGAGGCTTCCTACATGTAGTTACTGTAGGCAATCTGGAAACAATTTGGTGACTTGCGGGTTATGTACAACCACTGACCTTCAGCATGTATCGAGGTCCTTCTGAATGCATAGACTCCTTCCCAGGTGATACAACTCCACTCCAGAGAAACTGGCACACCAAAGCAGTCATGCCTGGAAATTGACCAAGAAGCAAATATAAAACAGAGAAACACAATTACTAACCAAAAAAAATATTATGGTCTCAAAAATAATGTAATCAGTGTATATGATGTGTAAAAAAAAAAGCAATAATCTTCAAAACTCACACATCACTGCTCCCTCTTTGGCCTGCCAGGATGTTTCCTTTCCCAGACAAATCTACGATGGGAAAACAGGCAAATGTAATGAGAACACTACATGTATATTGGATTCAACACAAACCATTGTCAATGATCATGGACCTCTTGGTTGCAAACATGATAGCCAATGATAAAAATGACAGTTGGAATAAGCAAACTATCATCATCTATCAGGCCTATTTCATCAGGGCTTTAAATATTATCTATAAAAAAATATTCTCCAGCCTGGTTGAAACATTCACTCTATAGAACTCAACATCTGTTCTCCTTGCTTTCTACAGAATATTTGCTATGATTTTAGCTTTCAGGATTTGGTGTTAACTCAAGCAGTACTTTCCTTTTAGATGAAATGTTTCTTTTTCTTCTCATAACACATCATGAACATAATGGTAGAGTGAACAGAGTGGTCACTCTTTGGTGTGAAAGGTTTCAAAGTTTTACATGTATCCATGCCCTTCCTCCTTCCCCTCCCCCCCCCCTCCCTAAATTGATCTGCATATATCATGTGGCAAGAAGAAAAATTTTCATTTCACTCCTAGCTACCTTTACTAAACTTTGATAGAATTCTTCCAATTGTAGCATTGTAAAAAGTTCCAAAAGTTTTGACAACTTAGCCACGCAAGTGTTCCTGATTGCTGACCAGATATCAGTGATTCCAGCCAAAACAACATCCTTGACTAAAGGAAACACTTTGCTATCCACTCCATTATCTGAGCTAGCAAGCTTTAGCCAGTCCATGATATGCACAAATGTCTGATTCCTAACCACTGGCATATTATGAGCTGAAAAGGACAGAAATTAGTACAAGTACACGTATCCCACCTTTTTTTAACTTTAAAAATCTCACATTTAGGAATACACTGATATCTACAAGAATAGATGGCCTCACAGACTATCTGAAGAGTTAATCATTACATCTTGTCTGGTTGTACAATGTATATTGGGATCATTAGCCATTAAACAGTTGCAACTTCTGAAGAAAATATCTGAATTCTGGCTAACCTTTAGCAACTGCATATTTAAAACTACTCAAAAGATTTTCCGTTAGGTTAACTTGGGCAAGATACCTGTAAAAGAAAACATGCTTCAGTCACAACAGTCAACAAACTACCAAACAGCTCAGCTCTAATTGACCAGCTGGCTTTAACTCTGTCCCACTTTCACAACTTTCATAACTCCATTGAGCAAACAAGCAAGGAACCATGATCCCAAATATAAAATATTGTTAAGATTTCAACACATGCCTTTCCCACCAAAAAAAAAGAAGGCTTTTCTGATGACAAAGAGGATAGACAGTCCAATGGAAATTTTTTGACCCCTTGGGAAATTGCCAATTCAAATTTTATCAAAACAATCTTTCTCTTTAATAAAATTTGCATCAATTTTTGTTAAAAAATGTAGGGCTGTTAAGTGCACTTTTCAAGAATACAGGAATCGATCTTGACAACGTAATCTCCGATGAATCAATATTTGAACAAACTTCTCAGTTTACCATCCAGGTGGATGCGTAAAAAACCACACAATTTGCCCGAAATTAACGTAAAAATAGCGAGAAAATTTAACACATTCGGAATTATTCAAATTAAGTGCTAGGGGTTTCACACTGGCGAAAGAGGTGCGATTTTGTGATTCGATCAAGGGAAAGCTTATGTAAAGCGTAAATTGTCTGTCGCAGACTGAGCTGACATGTTCTAGCTACTCAAAAAGGTGATACGATTCTTAATTTGGCAATCACAACTGGATTTGATAACTAACCTATTTCACCTTAAATTATTACATCTAGAAACCTGAGGTTCGTCGGTGTGCTAATAGATTTGATACTACTTCTCGATTTCCCACAGCGACAAATTAAAATCATGAACATACCACTTCAGAAATTCGTCTAGTAACTCATTCAGCTTCGCTTTAAACTTGGATTCATCCTGAATTCGAACAGACCCAGACGATCCCCTACGAACTAAATGCTCATCTGCTTCTGTATGTAGATCGTCTAAGTTCGCTGTAAACTCCGACCAACCAAATCGTCGTTCGAAAAGATAGAAAGTAAACGAATCAAGATCATCTTGAGAAGGTATACAGGTTTCAGGTGTTTTGGCCGGGAAAGGATTCACTATGTTATCTAAACCTGAGCGAAGCCATTCTTTCTCGCAATGATCCTCATCCAAAGACGTTTTATCGCCAGTGGGAAGAAGCGTCTCCCTTAACTGTCCTAAAGCAACGATCTCATCCTCAGCGCAAGAAGCGTTTTGCAGAGCGGAGAGTCTGCGGCCAAAACACCACTCCGGCGAAGAACTTTCGTCGTCAACCATTACTAAATCTTTAGCCAGATTGAAGGCTTGGTTCTCATTATCGATCACCAAGAGAGGTCTGCTGTAACCAGGTGTCCTGATGTATGTGTCACAATTACCTCAACATAAAAGCTAACAATCAATTTAGTCAAAACATCAAAATACCGCCATTTTTCGTATCCACCGAAAATTTATTCTACCACGTGATCTTATTCATGGCGCCGAATTTTGACGACTATGATTCGGTAACCTCTCGACAATCCTCGTCAAATTCTCGACTTCCTTGAAGGGGCCGTGAGGCCAGCTTAACGGCAGCGAAGATCAAGTTTAGAGATGCACAATTTAAGATATGTTTTAATTTGAAATAGAATCTCTGGAGAATTCTAAAACCAAATTAACATAGCTTGTGCTCACAATTCTTTTTAATGAATTACATTTTAACAATCACGAGCGCGCGTAGGATGAGATGATAGATAGCCAACGAGGCCTGTAAGGTCGATTTGGTTATAATCATATTCAACAAGCTCGAGTGTCTAATTATTTTATTAAAAGCGCCCTATACAGGCAGGAAAAAACACTGCGTTCAAATGCCCAACTCAAGCACAATTTTCTATCGTACGATTCTTTGCGTGACTTATACTAGTTTTTGGTGTCCCCGATGGGTTTTTCGCTTGAATGAGTCATTCTACACATTCTGCGATATGAACATTTTTTTCTTAATCATTTGCTCACGGAAACGGACTCTTTTCCATCAAAACTCCTCTATATTTAATACTTCAGTGGTTCAAATTCTTAACCCCCGGAACACGGACAGCATTCAAAATGCCCGTGAGTTATCCGGGAATGAGGGCTGAGGGAAAGGGTGGGGGGAAATTGATGCTTCATGACTCTTATATTTCCTTTTGATTGACGTTTTCCCAATAAAAACCAAAATGAAAACAGGAGTAAATTTAAGAAAATAAAACCATCGCAGTCAAATACCCAGTCCTAAAAATGTAAAACAAGAACAAGGAAGACACAAAACATACTCTCCAAAGCGTTGTTTTATTCAGCATTCTACGATACAAAAATTACAAATTGTCAAAAACTTCAATGTCATAAGGACTGGATCTCTTGAAACCTGTTGTACAAATTTACAGCTTGTTTCTTGTGTGTTCACTCTCGGTTTTCAGCAGTATCTCTGGGCGGTGCCTGTTTCTGCTGCATGCAGCTACGTGCAACGGATTCGAACAACCTGCAGGAAAATGTACCAGGTTATTTGAAAACCACTTACCCTTTCCAACTTAATATCAGTATGCATATTCTCCATACCGTTCTCAATACATTTCCTGAGGTGCTAACAAGGAACATTTATTTAACAATTAAGAACTTTTTTAGTTGGTGATCATTTCCTTTCTCCTCAGTACCAGGGGTGGTAGTGTGAGGAGAAATTAGATGCTAGCCTGTCTTAGGGGTTGAAGGGTTGAGCAACGTAGCGGTCTCAACGATGGTCAGAACCAGTCCAATGATCAAAAATCAGAAATGAATTTTTCACAATAATCTAATAGATCTCTCAACCGTCTCTGACACAGTTCTCTTCCCTTCATCACAAAATTTTAGCACAGGACACGAGAAGTTTCTATTCATCGAGAAAGAACTGGAAAAACGATGCAATTTTCAAGCGCCCTTCCTCTTTTTACCCAGATGGGTGATGTAACATTTATATACACTTTACAATTACACTAAGCATCTGTACGGAAGGATGCATCGCGTATCTTCTCAGCTTATCGATAAAATGCATTTAATGAAGGAGCACCGCTGTTAATCGTAGAAGAAATTCAATCTTACTTTTCGATTTCCGGAGCGCAGTGAACAAATTCGTGCGTCCAGAATTTGTACTGGTGATTCTTAATGAGTTCAATGAAGGTGATCAGTAGTCCCCAAGGATGAGGTCGGTTCACAATCAACCGCTCCAGCAATACCCTACAAAAAAAAAAAAAAAAAGCAAAAAAAAAATATATATATACACATATTACATGGGTAAAATGTTTGCTCACAGTCATAAAAGTATTAAAAGATAATTCAGGATATCCAAGGTTACAAGAGATCAAGTAAATAAAAACGTTTATCTCAGCACTTCTTTCAAATAAATCAGCAATGGAGACAGGATCGTTTACCGATGGAGGTAGCAGTTAGGGATGAAATCTGCACAGAAACTCGTCTTGTTTTAAATTCATTTGCCATCTTGTCTGTTTTACAAGCCAATCAAATGTCGGGCAAAGGCAGCGCCTCTTAATTTTGGAGCATTGGCCAAAAGGATGAGTTATTCTGAACAAAATGGTATCAGCAAAGGATAGTCTTGGAAGAATGTGTACGCACCTTGTAATCTGTTCTTGAATGGCTTCTGTGTTTGCTTCAGCAAAGAGATACAGCAGAACACAACTGAAGTAATGTGTGTGGCTGTTTGGATAACGCAGCTGATTTGCAATCGCATTTAAGAATAGGTATCGACCTGGAGAGGCAAAAGTAACTTTGTCATCCATCAGACTACCTAATGCTACAGCACTACAATGCCGAAAAAAGAGGACCACAGTTACCGAAGGAGAAATAGAAGGATATATCACAGCGAAAAATACGAAATAAAAGTAAACACAAATGCAAGTAATGAAAACGTGATTGGTTTCAATTCTGTATCTGATTGGCTGAGGATATGACAGTGACGCAGTTTCTAGACCAATCCCCGGGCGTTATACAGCAAATCAATTCAATCCCAATTAAAAAGTTCCTCTGTGAGAAAAATAACCTCCCGTTTTCCACTCAATGCCGTTCGTTTACAGATTAAGTCTGTACCTTCGGTATCCAAATCCACAGCCAGATTTTGGAAGATGTCCATGTGCGACGAATGAGTGATGGTTGACATGGATGGGGTACCGCTCTTACTGTGAATGTAAGTAATGGCTTGCGTTCCGACGTAAAGGACCAAGGCATTCATCAAAGGTACGTTGTAACGCGTTCCAGCTTCATTGGATACCTAATTAGACAAGATATAATTAAAACAATTACACTCACAAAAAAGCCATATGAGATACTTTGCGCTTTCTTAGCTCCCTTAAATGCGGATTAAAAAAAATGCTCCTGTTGCTTTTACAGGTCGTTACTACAGCTTCTTAAAAAACCGCGATGACTTTGCCTCTAAGTAATAAACATTGCTTTCATTGCGATGTCCTTCCTAACCTCCCAAGGATCTTTTCTTTTTCTTTTTACACCGTCATGAATAAAATCATAAAAAATCGAAAGAAACAGACATTACCTGCAAATGCGTTCTGAGTTCCGTCAGGAAGGTTACTGGAGCACGTGTCTTCAGATACGAATCTAAATCCTGTACAGAAACAAAAAAGAAATATCGAACTTAGCTAAAATTCCTTAAGTTCTGTCGGATATTAGATCAGGCAAACTTCCCAGTCTATTTTACCTTTTTGAAGTTCGCAGGCTGGATAGCAGAGGCAAAGTTTGTCAGGATACGTGGCGAATGAGCGATGTCAGTCAGCAAATCAACCTGTGTTCGTATAATCAGAGGGAAAGAATTAACAAGAACTTTTGCCTGTGAACCAGAATTTCAGACAATGTGAAAAATGGAGATATCATTGGGAATCGAAAGCAATCCGCTAGTTCAAATGTGTTATTTCAGTAAGCTCTGTGATTTGTCTGAAGAGCAAAGTTCCCTAGTATTTCCTTCAAGTTCTCATAAGCTCCTTGTAGTATTTTCTTATGCCCTGATTGGCTGATTGATTGCTTTGCTTTTGTTTAACGACGCTCGATCGAAAAGCCCTCCATTCAGTGCGTGCAAATCTCGTGACCACTTTAGTAGCTTTACTTAACACACACAACCATGCGCCCTTTCCACACTGGTCTGTTAGAAAGCAAAAACGAAACAAAACAAAACAAAATAAAAAAAAACTGCCATATTAAGAAATCTGCGCGAGTTTTCCAAATTAAATTAGAGACGTTACCTTCAAATTTGGCGTGAAGGGGTCTGGGAGTCTCATGTTCCGAGGGAAAGCACTAAGGATAAGATTCCTCATCTGAATACAGTTGGGAGGGATGACGTCACAGAAACTGAAGTGGTAATCACATAGGAACTCTGGGAAGTCATGAAGCAGGACCAACAACACGCGTAGTGTACCCTAAAAATAAAAATGCAGAGAACATCAACGACACGTTACCTAAAACAAACTGTACCTGAAATCAATCAACATTACAAGAAACTGATTTTATCACCTACATCTAAAGAATACTGTTTCCACAAACACTGTATTTGTTTGGCGAAAATCCTCAGATAATTCGAGCGGAAATCCAAATGTAAGTATGTTTTGAACTGAAACGTTACCTAAACCAAACTTTTAACCATTTTAACTACTGCTTCACTATTTTTGATTTGGGGGACGTAGGAAGATAAATTCGAAGTCTTAGACGACAGCGGGGCCTACAATCAACGAGTAAAAATATTCAACGATACTTCGCACCAAAACGTCTAATAAGTTATTTATTATCCAACGGCCTTTTGTTGCCAAGTCTTTCTCATAAGACGAGAAAAGCAAAGCGGATAGAGAAGCGTAGCGCGTGCAGCCGACTAGTTCAACAGGTTTTTTACGGTACAAAATAACCAATATCCTGCTTTATTATATACACAACAAAATATCAGGTTTCTGATTGGTCAATGATGAATGCATAAATAGGTTATAGAGTGCAATAGAGGTTATAGAGTGCAATATTTGAACACCAAATTATAAATTATTTTGTCAGGAATATAATAAATGAAAAATCTGCTATATTCGGCAATATCACAGGATATTTGCACTCTATTCGCGCGTTATTTGTACTCTGCTTTGTACAGTTGGATAATAAGTATGCATATTCACCATACTGTGCTATATACATTTCCCAATTTGTTAACACAAAGAGCTTCTTTGGGTTGGTGATCATTTCCTAAATTCTCATAACCTTGATGTGTGATTCAAGGGTGATATTATAAGGAGAATTAAGATGCTAGTCACTCTAAGGGATCAAATGATCAACTTATAAAACTGTTCAGTATTAAGGTTTTCCGTAACAAACCATCCATCTAAGTAAACTTTTTAAAAAAAAAAAAAAAGAACAAAAAAGTTTCACAAAATCGAAGCTCTACAGCTGTCTCTGCCAACCTTATAAAGCAAGTGAGTCTGTTTAGCTAACTCAGCGTTCCTCAGGAATGGAGCCAAAAACTTGAAAAGATCGATTAGCAGCTGTTGAAACAAAACCCAGCCCTAGAAACAAATAAACGAACAAAAATTTCAATACACATTCCCAAGCGCGATCAAAAAATCGCGTATAGATGGTTAATGGTGAGAAAAGGGTGACAATGTTAACATCACCTTAGTTACTCAAGTGTCTCTTACGTTTTCTTCTTACGAGTTTAAAATCTGGTAAAACGAAGATTGTTGATAACACGACAATAGGTTTTTATTCAGCATCGGGTTAAATAAAGTATTAATCCAATGATATATCACTGCCCAAACATGGTATGAATTGCAGAACCTCAAAACAACTTGTTGGATAACTTAGTTTCAACGATTTGTTTGCCTCTCATCTTGCCTAGAGCGTGCTGTGTAATGCACGATTTCTGAACACGTTGAATCAAACTCGCTTTCTGATCCAACTTACCTTCTGCTGCGGTGTGTTTAGAAGCAGCTTGGACATCAGGAGGCGATGCGATATGAGCTCAAGCCAGGCGTATGCGAACCCTGATGCACGGGATGGCCGGAGGGCATGGAACACAGTGCTAATATAAACAATTTCTTAGGTGTTTAGATCTACAGAGTGATCACTAAGCAACATAAACTTTTATTATTAACGTGAAATTTAGCAGAAAAGTTCCGTACTCATGCACACCTAGAAGTAATAATCGTGATTAATAGATGATAGACTCTAAATCATGATTCGGGACAAATGGTTTAACTCACTCAAGCCATTCATTTCAGAGGTGAAAAAATGCTTACCTAAAAGTTTGCAGGACCTGGAAATTTATAGCTTCCAGGATGGGTTCGGGTTGGTTTAGCTCTACAAGCAGCATTATAAAGATTCTGTGATAAGGCAGCTGTTGAAACTCCGTGTGACGAATCTCATGATCTTGGAATAACACCGTAGCGACTGTGCCAAGGACCTATTAAGATAGGTACATCATTACGAGATTTGATCATGACTACAGTAAAATCATCTGAGAACTACAAGTTGTTAAAGCAACAGTGACTCACTCTGCTGAGGAGGTTAATCTTGGTCACATTGTTGGAGGCATCTCCTGAGTGACGCACCAGGAGCGCTATCAAACGACAGTAAGCATCCAGGGTGTTGTGACACTTGGCCCTCGCCATGGTGGGGCTGTTGGGCTGAAATTGGGAAAGGAAAGTAACGAGTTAGGGGTACTGTTAAACCCAACGCTACTGAAAACTAGAGTTTCATACGGCACTGCGCAGTGTTTTTTCTTTAAGTCTTATAATGTGGATGATACACTTTTCAAACCTATAACCATTGGATTGAAAGAAGCTAGTCATGTTATTGCACCGAAAGACAGGATGATTCTGTTTCGGTAGAAAATAGCCTTTTGAAAGATTTCTGAACAACCTTGACACTTACTGAACGGTACTGCTAAGCAGAGAGGGCAAAGAGCAGGTTTAATCTCACAAAGTTCGGAGGGCAAACAACTTCTTCACGCGCACTTTAAAACAACACATTTTCCAGATTGCATTAATTTTGTTTTACCCCGCTTTGTAATTTTTCTAGAGAACTCGCAGCGACCTCTCAACCATATCAGATGCAAAATCTTGAGCCAATTAGGGATCATTTACTCTTTACGGTGTTGATCTTTGTTGTGACTGGTTGGAGTGCTTACTGTAGTTCTGGCTCAGTACGAAAGGAAATAATAAGGAGCTTACATGATCTCCCAAAGCTCTGTATGTCACCTCCACACACAACTCAGTACTGATCCGGAAAAACCTTGTGATCAGATCATCAGTTCTCAGAATGCCTTGCTGATGAAGCTACAATAAATAAATACAGAAGCAGCTGTTAGACACTGAATTCTCCTGGTATTTTCACTTTATTTTCTCTACCTATTCAATAATTTTGGTAGTTTTGAGACAGGACTAACTTAAGGTATTTCCCTTTTTAATACGATAAAATATTAATCACAACAAATGACGTCTACCATTTTCCGTTGACCACAAAACAAATCACACAATAAAGACGAAAGGACTGACCAGGGCAACGAATGTTGAGAAGGCCTTCTCACTTTCCTTCCCTGCTCCGGGCTGATGGCAAAGCCGCACCCATTCTCGTAACAAGTACTCCACCTGAAAATCAAGATGCGGCTTAATAACACCAAGAGAACATAAAAAACGACACTTAATCCTGTGGTCATCTTCATAAAATCATACGAAACAAAATTAATTTCATCATCATGGTCCTCACTGGTTTCAATTCATCACTAGCACAGCTATATAACAATAACTCTGTTACCTTTTCGTGCAGACCAGGTGGATCCTCGTAACCATGGAAATTGGAGCTCACACCTGATGACACACTCGAGGTCAAAGATGTAGGCCCTCCAGGTGCCTTGTTGTCACCCATTTCGTGGTGCCCTCCGCCGACAGACTGGGAAGGAGGGCCATTGTGTGAGGCTTCCAACAAAGAGGACAAGCTGGAAGATTGTTTAAAGAAAAGAAAATAACAATATTAGGCATTAGGGAGCAGTTCGATTCGAGTGTCGAGAGTATAGCAGGATGTAGTGGATTCTTCTAGAGTGAAACAATTTGATAGGCGACCTTCAACAGATAATAAGACACGTACCCTTCATTATTCTGCCTGCTGTGAGCTATCCTCGTTAGAGCTTCAATTGTGTGATAAAGATCATTCTACAATTAAAAGAGACAATACAAATATCACATAAAATTATAGCTATTGTAAGAGATGATATTTAATACCGAAAGCCTAACATATCTTGCTCAGCCGCATTTTCCGTTTTTTCCCACGTCATCAAATCTTAAAACATCGACTTAGATGACATAAATGTTTGTTAATGTGTATTGATACTTCGCACTTAAAACCGCCTTTACCTCTGTGACATGTGGGCTGTGCTTCTCATCGGAAACGTATTTAGCAAGCTGAATAGCAAAGTGAAGTGCCTGCAGATTGTGACCATTGTCAATACACTAGAAACGAAACAAACAAACAAAAACCGTTAAGTCAAATAAAAGGAAATAATAATCACAAAATTGAACTTGAAATTTTAACAAAACAATTCAATTGGGCGCCATACGTCATCCGGGATTGCATGGGTGTTCTTTGCTCTGCGATTGGTTGAAACTACTCAAGCTACACTCTCCACCAATCAGATGCGAAACCAAAACCAACCGCAACTAAGTCATTCGCGATTTCCCGCACTTCTGGTAGTTTGATTGTTTTTACAATGAATTATAATCGGCTCTGTTAAGCTTTTCCTTGTTCCGTTTGGCACTCACAATATAATTAGTTTTAGGCCCACAGTACTTAATCGAAATACACTCAAGTGGAAATCGATCTATGTAGATGACCACACATAGCTAACACACCTGAACAAGATGAAGATCAAACTCTCTCATATTGATCAAGTGGCTACGGATCAAAATGTCAATGGCGTCTACATTAAACTTCAAGTCAGGTGGACAATCACACACGAACCTGGAAAAAATTTTAGAAAAGGCAAAATTAGATGTCATGGCACCATGTCAAGCCATGGTATTCAATCCCGAGGTTTTTAAGGGCGAAAAAAAAAATTAAATCAGCCAACTTTTCCCACCCTATCTAAATACTAAATCTCTTAACTGATAGCTATAAATTTATTTGATTGTTCTAAAGGAAAACTGGTGTTTTATCCTAACATTCCCTACTATCCTTGTCTTGACAGTGTTGTCTACATGTATGAAAACCTATCTGCCCATGAAACACCAACTTGAAGACACCACCTCGTAGTAAAGGTAGTGTAAATTGGAAAAAATCACTTTTTACGTGGAATGGAAAACAACGTTATGAACGGTTCCTGTTACTAACTTGGTCACGTGACGGGCGGTCCACATGGGTCCGTATCCTCTGGGGTCCTGTAGTCCTCTAAGTACTATCAGGTGACAATCACGATATCTTAGAGACAACTCTGCATCAGTAGCTAATGGTGCAACTCCTTCAAGAAGACCCTCTACAGCCTAACACAAAGCAAACGAAAAATTAGCCGGTTTTGTGTACACTTAGCATAGTTTCAACCCCAAAAGAGGTCGTAGGACTACCGGTAAGTGGGGCAAAGCAATAAGCAGCTCGAGCCTCCACTGTATGTCCAGGTGGTCATTTACATCATGTTGAAGCGTGTTCTGTTATTAAAAGTGACAGCATCTAATCTGACCACATAAAACGATGTTTGACTCCACAAACCTTGTGTAACAGCCTCAGAGCAGTCATGTTGTCTCTTGAAATTCGCGCCTGCACTACAGCGTCCAGCAGGCTGTGTATAGTGACGACATGCTGATTGGTGGGCGGAGCGATGATGGCGTGCAGATGTTGTTCGATTTCTGCTGCACACTTACCGAGAATCTGTACCACCTCCTCAGGCATAAAGGCCTGGTGAAAAAACAAATGACAAAAAAATTAATAACAACAATTAGCCTCATATACATAAGTAACCTCTTCATCCATAGGAAAAGTGAAGTGTACTGCTCCTGAAACTTGACAGGAACAGATGGTAACAAAAGCTGCCCCGTTGGGAGCCCAGAGAACTCCCCAAATTGTGGCTAGCCAGCCGCCAGATAAAGTAATCCTCATATGGCTAACAAATCTGTGCAACCCAGCCTGCCTTGAGTCACCTTTCAGGCAATCATCAATACTGCATAAATAATCGGTGGACAACAAGAATACAGGGAGGGACGTTTCAGTCAATAGCTACCAAAGCGCTCGAGGATGGTAAAAAAACAACCGCCTCAAAATCCTCTCGCCAAGAGCGCATAGAACCTGCCACAACGGAGTTTGGGAGTAATCAATACTTTCACAGAACAACTTTCGGTTTAAGCAGCGACGAGTTTAGTTGAACTTGTCACTTCAATTCTAAAACAATTACCCAATCGTCCATGCTTGAGTATCAACCACAATGAGGTACTAGAATTGCTCCACACAACTTTGAAACCATCTTTACTTGAAACAATTAAAATCTCTGAATCCAAAAAAATTTTCCAACCCACCTCAGCATTGCCGAGTATTCCATGTTCGTACTGGACAGGTTTCGGCAAAGGTGGAGTGGAGATGGCTTCGCCTGCAGCTGGAGGTTGGAATCCAGGAATACTTCGTGCAAACTCTTCATACACAGCTGTTTGACTGGCGTTTACTCCACCAACCTGACACGGATAAGCATCCACAAGTTACAAGAAGGTGTCGCGTGCATTTTAACTCTTTGGATGAAAATTGTATCAAGATTTATCCGAGATATTCGGCTTAACCAGTTGGTAACTCACATTCCAATATCATTTCATACACAAGGTATTAATCTGCTTTGTGAACTCAAATTGGTTTGGAGGCTTGAAACGAGGATTACAGACAGCACTATCCAATTACGCTTACCTTCAGTCGAATCTGTTCAGGCATGCGCTCTGCCTGATATGTTAAAACCACTGGATCACAGTACCGCCGTCCCTCACTACGAGCATGGCGACGAACGTCAAACTCCTGCAAAACACATTAATCCATGTAAAACAACTTGGTGGTCAACAGAAAAACCGCCCTTATATCAATCAATCAGACACAAAACCAAAGCGAATCCGGTGCTTAGTCACGCATATTTTTAAACCTTTAAGCAGTTTACTACAATCCATTTTAATTCTCATTGGTTCCTTGTAATGTTTGCCTTTGTAATCTCTGGCCCCGTTCGATTGCCTCAGTTTTGTTTTTATCGAGGCTCAATCGAAGTGCGTTCTACAGAGCGTATTGTACAGTACATATTAGAAATCAGAGTCTACAACCACACTCCTTACTGTAGTGAGACGTTTGTCCATCTCAGGTAAAGCTTTCTCTACCGCTGTCTTCTGAATGAATGCACACGCCAGTTCTGTGTTCTCCTCACTGATGACAGATGCAGCTTGTTCAATCAATTCCTTTTGCTGCTGGTTAGCACCCTGAAGTCAAAGATTTTGTTACAAGATTTTACACAACGTACTCCCTCCGGAATGGACTCCCCTGAATTGACCTTTCTCCTAAATAGATCTCTTTCAGATTATTAAACCCTAGTTTATGTCTTCTTTTGGGGATGATGGTTTTGGCTCTAAAGTATTGCTTCCATGCTTTTTTGACGTCCTAAGGGTTATTTCAGTGATATATAGATAAAAAAGACAAACAAACAAAAAAAACTTTGAGGCACAAGATTTGCTAACCCTGTGTTCCTCCAGGGATTTTCGAAATTTGAGTGATGATAACTAACAGAATGTAGTCTATACAAAGGATCTAATCGCTCCGCGTGATTTTGCTCGATTTAATTATCATACTCACTCTCAGAGCAGCCTGGAAGTTCGATCTAAGATTGTTATTGATGCTAATAAGGAGCGGTTCCCTACACGTGATCAGAGCCATGCCTGCTGTCATGAAGCGGACCATGTGATGGGCCGCGGCTCTCATTCGGGACTCTTCCGGATCCAAGGCAAAATCCTTTTAAGAGAAAAAAAATCCAATCCGGTTACCAAGACGACGCAAAAACCTGCTAAAGAATAAGATCACGAGCATTCCCTCCTTTTCGGCGAAGTCCCTCGCGCGAATCAGAAAAAATAAACCGTGAAATAATAAAATGATGCTGGTGCGCCGCGGGGGGCCCCTCCAAGAGTGAAGGGGGGCGAATCAGTGATCTTTCTTGACTCGCACGACAGACTCCGCCGAAAAGGGGAACTGCTCGTAGTCTATAACAGGATCGAAAACTCAAACAATACCGTCCATTGCACACCGAAACCCACCTTCTTCACTATCATCTCAGCTGTGGTAAGGCAAATCTTAATGGATCTCTCCACCACTGGATGAACAAGCTCTTGCACGGCTCTCTCAATAGCTGGACGTACAAACTGTTTAAGATGTGGGTGCTGCTGGAACAGTGGGATCTGGTGGCAGAGAAAAATTGACGCTAAGAAACACATAGTGGTCCGCTCGTTCGTGCTCTCGTTCGTTTGCTCCTTTGTTTAAATATTATAATCATGGCAATGCGATTAAACATCCACAAATCTTCTTGTAATACACTCATGCTACACATCACAGGTTGTGAAAATCGAGACATTTTGCCGAAATCTTTTAATCTAATCATCTGAAATCAACCCAAAAGTTCTCAATGCTAAGCCAGTAGCATCCTTTTTGTTCCAGACAGTTCGTAACACGCTAAATATGACTATTATACTCTTCTTCAGCACTCTTATCAAGGCCTTAGACCTTTATGATGACATTGAAGTACTGTAAGTAAGAGAATATTTCAAATCTGCGAATTTTAGCTCTCACGTCTTGGACGATGACATACCTGCGTGTTAACCTGAATGTGTGGTGCCAGCCCTGCGAGTGAGGCTACATTAATCTCCTGATATGAATACTGAGGGGGTGGAGGTGCCACAGGAGGCTGTCCTTGTTGAGATGAACCTGTGGGGGTGGGCGTAGAACTGCTACTAGCCGCAGCTAATTGGAGACAAGGATGAAATACAACAAAACAATCATTACTTCAGCTGGAAAAATATGGTTAGAGTGAACACTTCTAGATGTAGATGCGGTGTAATTTTCGCTAAACCCGAGGAAACAATAAAACAACAAACTGGCAGCGCATTGTGGAATGAGTAATTAAAAACAAACAAAAATTGCGCGCAGCCAAGCCTAAGGGTATATTGCAGGTTAAAAAAATGCACATCCGTCGTTAACGCTTTAGATGAGGGCAGATTCATTTTTCATACTCGCGTTTCTTCGCTTAAAATGCGGAAATTAGGACATTATTCTACTCTTAAAAGCCTCTTGGCAAAGAATAATCGAAGGACTGTCAAAGTGTTGAAATAATTCCAACATGTTGCACTTAGAATCAAAAGAAATTCATGAATGATGAGAAGTTGTATATAATTTAAGCACTTACGCTGTTTGTCTTTCTCTGGAGAAGACAACTGGTGAGGGATGTGCTTCAGTTTTTCAGGATCCTTAAGCAGCTCTGAAGCTTTAATTTCCTTGGAAAAAAAAAAAAAAACTTAATAACGACAAAAAGATGAAACATCTGATAAAGAATTGTTCACAGACTACTACTTCATTTTAAGTCCAAAACTTCGTTCGTTACCTAAGTAGCACTGTGATTATCATAAATGACCATGACGCCCGGCACGTATCAGAGATCTGAGGAAGAGCCACAGGCGCACAGAATGTTACGAGCTTAAGGTTCGTAATTTGGAGCTCAAGGTCAGCCTTTGCCGTGTCACGGTAACGATAAATTCTCGTTTGATATCATCATGTGGTTTTCGGTTTCCTAGCGACTATAGCCTCCGTATAGTGACGTCTATTCATTGGTGTAAACAAAGGGCTACCCTTCAGCCCTTCAACCCTTCAACCCCACGGATGACATCTTGGCGGCTCGGCTTTGGTGCATTTAATCTTTCTTTTAACTCGGTTCATATCTGTATATATTTTTAAATTAAATAAGTGACCTTACGGCTCGGCTGGTGAGGCGTTAAGGTACAAACATTCTTGTGCATCTGGTTGAGCAATGCGGGAGACAAAATTGGGGAACATTAATGTAACAGCTACGATGACACTTGTTCCTTGGACATGGTAAGGGTTCACTGAGACATGTCTTACCTTCATCTCAATGGATAACGTGTTGCAAAGGACTTCTACTTCAAATTTAAGATTCAGCTACAATAAGGGAAAAAGAGAAAAGTTTACGAAAGCAAAGAATGGTACAATACTTCATGAATATATCATGTGCATTATTAAGGACAAAAGGTTTGAATATATGGAGAGAAGGGTTGAAAATGAGAGAGAGGAGGCGAGAAGATTTGGCAAGGAGGAGGAGAAGGAAGGCGGATAAAGAAGGAATGAGAGGAAATGAGGGGGAAATGAGGAAGACGAAAGAAGGAGCAAAAAACACGGAAGGACCACGGAAAGGGAATAATTTATACCAAAGATATTAAAGAGCGTTAAAAGGGCAGTTTTGAAAAACGAGCGACTTCTGAAAGATCCGTGCAGCTGCTCTAAAATATTGCGATTTTTATCAACTTTAAAAACCAACACTACGGACAAGAGATCGGCTCCCTGCTCCAGCGAAAAATACTCTTAATCCACGACTGAACCGTATGCCTCTGTCCAGAACGTCCGTCCGTCCGTCTCTAACTCCTATAATTACTCACCTTCAAGTCAGGTACTTGATGCAGCTCAACCAACACTGACATGATGGCCATCACCCACGGGTTGGGCGGCCTAAACACTCTACTCTTGGCTGAGGATTCTATGATTTTCGCCACAAATGGAACAACATAGAGCATTTCCTTTTATGGAGTAAGCAAACAAACAAAACCTGGTAAGCACGGACTCACATTTTGACCAGCGGTTACTCTCCGTTACTTGATTCTTGAGGGCAAAATAACAATGAACGGGTCAACACTAACTCCAGTACCACAGGGCTCGAAATTTTTTTTTCAGATAGCCACTTGGCTCCTAAATTCTCCAAAGTGGTAGCCAATTCAAAAAAAGTTGGTCGCCATTTTCAAAGACAAACAAACCCTTTTTTTACGCTGTCATCGTTCTAGAAATTAAGTTAGGGAAAAGATCTTTAACGTGCTACAAAGTGGACAATAGAATGGATGATATGCAACGTTCAAACTACCTAAATCCATCCTAAATCTAGTTATCGATCGAGATGCATGTGCTGCGTTTTGGAAACAAACTTAATGAGGAAGTTTGCCGCGGATTTATCTTTGCAAATCTTTTTAATTTACTATATCTCTAGGTAAGGTTATGATGAAATATTCTAGTCGCCAATTTGGCGACTAATTTTCAGGAATTGGTCCCCACAGTAAAAAATTTAGTCGCATTGGCGCCTGTATTAGGCGCAATTTCACGCCCTGGTCAAGACGAATTGCCGCATGGCTCCAAAACCAATAGTCTTGTCTCATTCCCAATGATATAATCCAGGTGTCTTACGTTCATTTATCTGGACTCAAAGTGTGCTACCCAGAGTAACAATTAAATACTTACGTTTCATTACGTAGGTTTTTTAGCAGCACTTTCGCGGAAAAAATTACCTCACATTTCAAAAAAAATAATACAAAATAATTCTCCAATCGGCATACCTGCTGTCCTTTAAAGTACGCTTCGATAATCAACGACTTTACATCAAGATCCTGACAAAAACAAAACGATCAAAATGACGGTTTTAGCCCTTAAAACCCTATGACCTCATGTGCAAATAAGTGGTAAATAAGTGTAATAAATGCTTTTTAATAAACGTTTCCACTTTACTCCGATAATGACGTCCTCTCAGGTTGCTGACACATCTGCCACTCACCCTGAGAGGAATCCTTTTCAGGACAACACGAACGTTGACACACGAACGTTAACCAATCACCACATACTTTTTTAAGTTTTTATTCTTCATATTTTAGATAGCTACCACAGACAAAAGAAATACAAAAGATTTCGACCGAATTTCACCAGATAAAGTCAACAACAACTGTAGAGTCAAGCTATCACTTGAACAGTACCTTCATTAGTATAGGTTTGTTTCTGGCCAAGGTCTGGAGTCCCAACCAGTGGCCGAGGTTCTTTAGCAACGATCGGTCAGAGAAGTTTGCCGGGACTTTGTCGGACTGTAGAAGCACCTAAAGAAGTTTGCGTAAATAGTATAAGTATTATCAAAACGGGTCGTAACACTTAAACCTTCAGCGTCTGTTACCTTAACATTTTCACTTTAAGGATCTAAGTAACATTTTTCTGCACTGTCTGCTGTACATTTCACGTAATTTCAGTTCAGAGAATTCGGTGTTAAATCAGAAATTAATCCCCCAGTGAGATTTTTCTAAACCGTCTCATTACCTTCTTTCTTGAAACGCATTTATACGGTTGACCGAAAAATCTTTTTGGCCACCTCTAGTAGTCAAAAGAGTTGGGGAAATAAATCTCCTGGATATACAATCCTGCAGATAGCTACTTGTGTTGGCCAATACCTAGTGAGTTATCATGGCTACTAGTTGTTGTATTTTCAACGACAAATGCCTGACAAATTGCTGTAGCTTTACTAAGCAGTTGTTCAGCAAGTCTCAAAATAAGTTAACTCGAAAGTTTATTTTTATCCCTTGTTCCGAGTTAGATGTACGCTTGGTTGTGAAATCACAATCACAACTGTATTAAACCATTTCTTACACATTTTAAAGTTCAATAAAAAGATCTCGCTTACAAAATTACTTTCTTAACGAAATACTTTGTGCGCTAGGTTCACGCAAAAAGCAATCAACCGTTAACCCGTGAACCCCTTAGAGTGACTAGTATCTTAACTTCTCCCTACACCATTACCCCTGAATCCCACATTTATCTTAACTTCTCCCTACACCATTACCCCTGAATCCCACATTTATCTTAACTTCTCTCTACACCATTACCCCTGAATCCCACATTTATCTTAACTTCTCCCTACACCATTACCCCTGAATCCCACATTTATCTTAACTTCTCCCTACACCATTACCCCTGAATCCCACATTTACGTATTGAGAATAAAGGAAATAATCACCACCTAAAAAAAAATCCTAAATAAACGAATTCTCCTAGTCAGTACCTTAAGAATTGTATGGAAAACAGTAAGGGGAATATGCATACTGATGTAAGGATGCGATAGAACGTGAAGAGTCAAACAGTCTATGATTTCATAGCTACACACCTTGATGTTTCTGTATGTTTCCTTAAGCACTTCCTTTGAAAAGTTTGTAATGTCGAGTGATTCCATAAACTCCAAGTACAGCTGATGGAAATTAGGTTCAATGCTGGCTCTCTTCATCACCAAGTATTGTGATACCCACAAAGTGTACTCATTCTGGACAAGATTTTTCATTTCTTCAGCCTTGGAAGGAAATACACGCGAAAGTAAATCAAACGAAGACCCGTAGAGATAAGAAATCGCGTGAACGTGTATACCTTTCGTGATATATGTCAGAAGTTTTCAAATAACGTAAACTTTCAAAACATCTTGAGGAACAATAACAAAGAAATGCACGAGCAGTTCATGCCATTCTGTGTATCAGGGTGTTTACGATTGAGTGTTGTATAATCAAAAGCAAAGTGTCTAAAAAAGGCCTCTCAGAAAGAAGAAAAATAACTTTAAGAGCCAATGAGTACACAAAGTAAAAACCTTAAGCCTGAAGCGCATGTCTCTGGTCTCTCTGATTGGTTGAGAGAGTGGCGGAAGTTTTCAGGACCAATGATAGAAAAAAAGTAAAGCAAATCCTATATAATCCAGGATTACTTTGCACAGTCAATTGAAAACTGCTCTATATTCGCTACAGATCACTTGCTGAAGCTAGTTTGGACTTTCTCGGTGCAAGCTACTTCATTCAGTTTTGAAAGATTTGGGAAATCTTTACCTTTTAATTGCAGCGATCAGTTTCCACCAAGAATGTGACAGACAAACCAAGCTAAATGTCCTTTTATTCATTATTCAGTAATCTATTTTTTTAAAGCCATCTTTAGGTGATAAAATTTTTCAGAGTGACTGTGAAGTCTGTGAAATTTATTAGAACTAATTTATACCGAATAACAAGGAAAATCATCACACTAACCTTCTGTGACAGAGTGGCTTGGGAGATATTGTTGAAGATAAAATGTACTTTATCTTGAATATTTTCTGGTGGTTGAACTATTTCACTCGATTCCGTAGCACCCAGTAAGGTATCAATATTGTTTGCAGTGGCAATGGATGGTTCCTTGCCTCGAACGGGAGATGCAGCTAAAATCAAATAAATCCATGAATCAGTAACGTTATTCATTGCCGTCGTCCCTGTTTTTAACTCTTAACACCTTGAAATCAATAGAAATATTCTCCACTCTGTTCTCCATAAATTTTCCGAGGTACTCACAATGAGAGTTAATTTCAAAATCAAGAGCCTCTTTAGTCGATGATCATTTCCATTATTCTCGCGACTTTGATTTTGATTCAGAGGTGATATTGTAAGGAGAAATTAGATGCTGGTCACTCTCAGGGGTCAAACGATTAATAAAAGAACTGTTGTACTCTATTGAAACGATGAGGATGATGAAAAACATAGTAATGTGCAGTTAAACAGCTAAACGTGGATTTGGCACGTATCCTGCTTATTGTGGCAACAATCTGCTTGTTAAAGTCATTCAGTATTCGGGCATTTTACTCTGTTATATGCATAATGTCACGCATGACTGGTATGTGAAAATGGAATATCACAACGGTTATTTCGTTTCATGGCAGATCGACATTTTCCGTCGGATCAAGAAAACTGTTATGTAAAATTTGCCCTCTTTGACTCAAGAAACAACTTCCTTTTTGGAAAATGAAAGGAGAAAAAACTCTCAATCCAGATGAGGAAAAGTGATAATCAGACCAGCGTGTATGCGTTTACGGGTTAAATCTCATAATAAGATAAGCAATCGCATTCAATGTCGTAAATGATGGCGACTAAAATTTTACATCTGGCGGACATTTCACGATTTTAGGTTAACCAAGTTTGGATTTGATAAAAGTTGAGCTCGGGACTCTATATCGGGATGACAGAAGCCATACCTGATGTTGTCACTGGTTTAGAAGGCGACGATACAGCAGTGTTAGTTGAAGAGACAGAGGGGACCAGAGGTAATGATGGCACTGGTCCTGAACCTAACGGGATGGAGGGAATGGAAGGACCAAGTGGAACCGGTCTGCTGACTGCTGTGCTGGTGAAGGTCGAGGTACCTGATACACTGGTCAGAGTTGGAGTAGCTCGGTTGAGCAATCTTGACGCCAAAGGGTCCTTGGGAGATTAAAAGAAACAACGTTAAGGTCCAAATAAGGATTCTCGGATCAAGAGGAAACAAGGTCAGCTAAATGAAGTAATTTGGTATTATCAACTTAGTTGATCACGTAAATTGGCCTCCGTAAAGAGTTTAAAAGCTGACGTTTCGAGCGTTAGCTCTTCGTAAGAGCAGTTAAATGGGTCTCATGAAGGGTTAACGCTCGAAACGTCAGCTTTTAGACTCTTCATGAAGGCCAATTTACGTTATCAACTCAGTTGATAATACTAAATTACCCAGTTATACTCTACCACCGACGCAGCACCACAGTTTCTTTAGAAACTTACCCCTTTATTCAGCTAAATGAAGACCAATTTAGGCGTTATTTTGAAAACTTGAATGATAAAAACTCCATAAATTGCAGTATTACAGGGTGGTGCGACAGCGAATTTGTCCACGTTACGAACATAAGCGCAAAAGTGCGGTGCGAGTTTTATGCACTTGAATCGTATAATATTGATACAATACCGAACTACTGCATACACTCAAAGAGAGACTTAGCTCTTGAAAAGAAAAATTTGAATATATGAAACTTCTGTCTAGAGACACATTGAAATATTTTTCTCATCAAAACTTACCTAGAAGTTTGAGAAAAAGTGAAATCAACTTTGAACAAAGAAGTTGGTTAACACATTAGGCACAATCCAGAATTCGCAGGTTCTTTTTCTCTCTCCCTCGAAACTCACAATATTTCAGCCCTTACCCACTAAAAAAAAGTTGTTTCACACCAAATTTTCCCAGGAGGTTCCAAGAATCGAAATTCCATAATAACTTTTCACACAAGACTTGACGTGCACCTCAACATTAGGATTTAGTCGGGGTAGACAAAAAGCAAAGCGCTAAAACATATAGAATATTTTATTTTATGTTGCTGCCACTTACCTGTACATTTCTGCTCCCCATTGGTGGCTCTCTGGATTGCTGTCCATACTCAATGTACTCTATTAACGTGGGCGGGAATTCCATAAAATGCGGGATTGATGCAAGATGCTGGCAGTAGTGCGGGTAGTCTTTGAGCCTGTTTGACAACAAAGAACCTTCATTATCGCCTCTACAACACTTCACAAGAAAAATGTTAAGGGAAAGATCAGCTCCAAATATTTATTTCAATTTTCCCCTCCACTAATAACAAAGTAAGAAAAGGGAAAGAAACTCTCCTAGATTGTAATTCTACGTTTTCAGACATCCTTATGAGATTTGCGATAACCAAAGCGAAACCAGAAAAGTAAGATGTGAGCCGCCATCTTGGTTGAAGTCTATACAATCACTAAGTTGCTTTCAATATGACGACGTCCGAAATTGGACATTTTGACACGTAAAACAAAATTTCTGAATGGGGGTTTTGTCGCTTTTTGGAATTTCATTCACCGTGTTCAGTGGTTAATTTTAACATACACTCTTTGAAAGCAGATAAAAAACACTAAACAGTTTCCAGAGTGTACTTTTCCTAACCACTACTAAGATTAAAAGCATCTAGAATAGTATACCTTGTCTTGAATCTATCGAGCCCAGCTATTCCAAACATGTACATTTTTGAGCCAAACGGTTTCCTCAAGGCCTCCAGGACATAACGCAAAGCAATTCCAAGGGCCATGTACCTGAAAGATAGGGACGTTATACTTTCCATATTCAAACCTACAGATTTATTTGATTAATCATCGACCATAATATCAGCTACAGTAATTTGAACCTGAAAAAAAATAAGATGGCTACTACTATTGACTTACGTTACAAGTCCCTGCTCAATTATTCCCCCAAACAAGCAAGCAGTTGTGTGAAGCTCTTTGTCTGGATACTGAGGAAAGAATCTGTACTCTTCAAACAAATTGCGAAGCATGCAGAGAAAAATATCCTAAAAAGAGAACAGAAAAAGTGATCGTTATTGATTTTATTTAAATTTACTAGACAAAACCTTGCTATATATATAAAAATTTGACTGTCGCCCAAATTGTTCCGGGAATAACGGTACTCACCCTCTCTTTCTTGACAGGTGAATCTTTGAATTTCTTCAGCATTTCGAGCACCTCATCAATGCTGATGGTAGGATTCGGGGGATGATTGTAAATTCTCTGAAAGTATGAGTTCGCCTCATCCTCTACTTCTTTTGTGAAGGACTGATCCATACCTGGCCACACTTGAGCAACATCTGCTGTGGAAGCAGCTGACAATCACAAAAAGAGGAAATGTGAGAAGGTTGAACTTTTTTTAACCACAAAAACAACATTTTCTTGATTTCAGGCTATTCCCTCGACAACACTGAGTAGCAAGGGAGGAGTCCAAGCCGTAAGTGGTGCTTGATGCACACTCATAGTGACAAAAATTTGAGGCTGCTCAATGCACTCACTCTCACCTTGTCGTAATTTATCTGCCTGATTTCTTGACTGAGAGAGGAGAGCACTTTGCTGTTGCTGTTGTTGTTGCTGTAGTAAAGAGCCCCCAAGCTGTTTCTGGATTCCAAGGCCTACTAAGAGCCTGGCATCCAGTGCTGATCCACCAATAGACTGTCCTAGCCCACCTGCTTGATGAAGCTGCGACAACAGGGGATTCTGCGAAGAGCTGAAACTTGGGGACTGTAGCCCTGAGCTTGATGTTGCTGGTGTTGTAAGAGGAAGCTGTCCAAGCTGAGACTGTGGCTTTTGTACCGCCTGGGGCAGACCTGTGCTCATGCTACCAACAGCTCCAAGGCTGCTTGTGGGTCCGAGTACAGAACCAGTGAGGGGGTGGGGTGGGAATGATGGTAACTGGGTGGTGGGTGTGGCTGGGGTTGTAGGGAGAGGTGACTGAGGGATGTTGAGCCCTGTCAGAGGGTCAAGCTAAAAACAAACACACAGAAACAAATAATAAGTAATAATTAGAAAAAGGATCGTGCATGAGATTGATATTCAAAGTCTCCATTCTACCTGGCCAGAAAGGTTTGGAGGTAGTCCTGCATCCAAGCTTCCTTGTCTCTTGAATGGAATTCCAACCACAGCAGCACTAGGTCGCGCCTTCACCAGGGGACCATGGTTAGTCAACATCTGACTGATGGTTTCTGCAAGTTCTGGAGGTGCTTGACTATAAAATTCAAGCAATTTCCATTTAGCCTCGGTGACCTTAACAAAGAACGTATCATTTCCTGTACAATATAACCCTCACCATATGTTCTCAGAGACGAATGATAGTGTGCTTTCAAACACTGACCTTAAAAATGCCTGGAGGCATGAAAGCATGGTAACCACTGTCTCCTGAGGAAGCTGAGCACTCTTTGGAAGTTCCTTGTCAATGGTAACCCCGAGCAAAGAGGGACAGCGACGTCTCAAGAAAACAATACATGATTGAGCAAATTCCTCCTGAAATGATCCACAAAAAAATGAGGTTACAACACAATCTAGCAAAAATATTGATCAGTGAATGGTCTAAGGGAAGGAGTAAAACTTGATTCTGTAGTGTGACTATCTGAGTAAGGTTTCTACAAAAAGAGATAAATTTAATTTTATCAAGTGAATTGATAATGTAATTGGCCACCATAAAGAGTTTCTGAAGCTGATATTTGGAGCATTATCCCCATGTCAGCTTTAGAAACTCTTAAAAGTGGCCAATTTAGCATTCAAAACAAATTGCACTACAGAACAACAATCAACAAAACAAACATTTTCAGGGCTTCTCTAGCCCTAACAATCACACAATATCATTTAGAAGTAGACCTGTCTTGAAATTTCACATTACAGTAAGAAATTTTCCATCACCTTATGCTCTTTAAGTTTGTCTTTTAGCCACTTATCCAACTTAAGGTATTCTCGGCGTGATGCCAGAGCAGCAAGGTCAATTACAAACACAAATGGAGATCCATTCAGAAGCATGGACAGGGCCTGAAAGAAAATCAACAAATCATTCTGCCATTAATGCAAGAAAAAAGTAAGAAACTGTAAGCACATTCATTTATTTTGTTTTTAGATTTTATAATGAATGGTTGGACAATCTACCATATGCCATTGCCCAAGCAGCAAAACATGCCTCTGGACAGCTCTCATAGGGCCTGTGAGAAACATAAATGAGAGCCATACTGGTACAGTGGCCAGAACAAAATGTTTCTGACCTTAAGGTCCTGAGCCACATCCAAGATCCTGGATAGCCTTCCTTGATCCATGTCTCCTTTCACATACCATTCTGCCATGGCTTGCATCACGAGTTGGCGAATTGATGCTGATTGGCCCTATGGAAAAGACTAACCTTTAGAAAACAGATTTCATGAATGCAACCAATAGTAGAACTGTCAGCATATTATCCCAGTGTCCTTCAAGAAAGCTTTGATTGTAGTAACAATCTAATCTATATTTAACTTTGAAAATTATGTAAGGCTGTCTGTTGATTGTCACATACCTGACCATGCCACACATAATGCAAAACACTGCCAGAGTTGGGATGGTTAGCCAAAAACACTGGGATGAGTTGTGACACAAGCTCATTGCGAAGTGAAAGCCATAGAGGCTGCAAAAAACAACATCAATAAGTCTTTGTACATTTTAAATGGATAACAGTCAACTGACCAAGGTCAAGCATCAGGATTCCTTTTTCTACAAAAGATTAAAGTAAAACTGTGTTCTATCTTAATTTATCAGGTACTGTTACTCTTTCCAATCCCTTTTCAATGCTTTCAAAGGGTTTTTCATCTCTTCTCATGGCTGGGTTGCCAGGATTTGCTAAACATGGGAGCAGCCTTCATCAAGAAGTCTGCACCACAGACAGCCTGCATACATACATGCACGTTACTGTTTTTGCCTAAGGTATTGAGTGACACATCCAGGTGCACTACAGGCTACCAACTAGGAGCTGGTAGTAAAAAGTTGCATCTTGGAAGGTTTGCACTTCTTAGAAATTTTTAAAACTTGACCATTTCCATTTCCTTTTCCTTGTTAAATTTATCCATTCCAGACCATTATTGTCCCCCAGAGGTTTATTCTTGTTTTGGTGTTTGTCTACCCCAGCAAACTAATAGATGTGAAGATTTCTTTCCAAGTGGTAGCAATTTTCAACAACCCAAAGTAGATCTCAAAATACTGTTATGAAGGTTTGTAAAGGTATCTACTTGTCTTTAACCATGTAAAGCAGCTGGCAACCAAAATGATACAATGTTGACTTATTTCTATGATAGCTAAAACTGAACAAATCTCAACCTACATTTATCTGCAGCAAGGCAAGCAGCAGAACATCTGGGCAGTGCTTCAAAGGAAAATTAAACAAAGATTTTACTGTGTCGTAGTGACCAGCCTCTGCTAGTCTTAACAAGGTTTCTGACAGATTGAGAGATTTCCTGCAAGAAAAATACAAAAATGATATCATGAAGTTTTAAGGGAATTATGCTTAAGTCAGTAAGGTATCAGCAAAATCATAAGTGATACAGGGGAAATGAAGACCTAATTTGGTACATATACTTGGAGCACTATTGACCACAAACAAAACAAAAGTGCCATGTAAAAGGAAAACTGTTGAGCTAAAATGCATGCTAAAATATAGTTATTTTTTAAATTATTTTTTATGAAAACTGGATTAATCCACAACTCTCAGGCACCTAAAGTAATTGATAAATTTGCCTTTTCTTGGAAATGAACACCAGAGCTGAAATTATTGTGGCTTTGTCACTTACAGTCTGTTTTGACAGGCTTTAGCATTTGAGTATTTTCACATTGAGTTCCAATTCACTCCTTTAAATATTTCCTCTGCTCTAAATCAATATTATTACAGTTAAAAAAAAGGACCTTAGGCTAGTTTTAGAACATTGCCATTCCAGAATAAGCAATAAATGACCTTTGGACATCTCAATAGTGCCATAGTTACCATGTTGCAATCTCTCTATTATCATCCTCAGGGGCTGTCTTAAGTAGGTCTATTACTACTGTGTGACATGGATAGTCAGCAAAACAGAACAGATCTGGACTGGCAAGGATCTGTTGGATCCAGGAAAGCTAAAAGCACAAAAAGAACTCTGATTAGATTCTGGTTGATAAAACACTAGAAGAATAAGATACAGAAGTATGAGCTAACCTGGCCTTCTGTGTTGGTCCAGGTTCTGTAGAGAACATCCACTGGAAATATCTCCATCAGTCCCCTGTGACAAGCAGTTAACAATAGCTGAAGCCCTTCCCGACTCGGAACAACAAACTCAGGATAATCTAACTCTTGAATCACTTGACGCCAGTTGAATAATGGAATCTAGCAAATTGAAAACAACAAAACTCAGTGAAACATATTGCAGTCATTGCCAGAATTTCATTTTCTCACAATTCTGATCTCTCATTGCTTCAACATAATATTTCCTTTCTGACAAACATTTAATGATTTCAGATGGCAATAGGCAATTAAAAAGAAAGTTATGCTCAGAGCCTTGTTCCACACTTCAAAATGCCCTTGATTTTTGTCCATTTACTCACCACTTCCCTCAATGCTTGGACAAAAACTTCCACATTCCATGTAGCAGGACCTGGGGTAAGTTCACTGAGTCCCAATTTGTCTAATGAAACTGAACTATTTCCATAATTCTGTAATAAGACAGAGTGTTAACATTGACAAGGAATAATATACAGACTGTGACATGTATGTACAAAATCATCACACTCATGAAGACCCAAACCAAACAGCAGAGCTTGTGTGGTTTATTACACAAACTTTAACAACATTAAAAATGACTCATTCATACCTGTACAATAACATGTTCACCAAGACCAAACACTGTTTTGACCATCATCCCTGAAGCAAAAATAAACACTTCCAGCCAAAATTCAACATTTTGTTTAAGTGCTTGACTTTCTAGATAATTATAAATTGTTTTTTCTTTCATCAACAGAACTTCTCTCCTGGAACAAAGCACCAATATTATTTAAGCTAGAGAAAATAAACAACTAAAGGTAACAAAAAAGCAATAGTCTCTAAGATGGATACTTACCAAGTACTCTGGCTACTGATGCTGGTGTGATGTCTTGAACACCAAAGTTAGTCAAGGTATCTTGACAGTCTTCAACACTAGAAAGATTAAATAAAAGCTATGGATATGCATGGGAAAAAAACTCCTGAAACATATTTTCCACTTATACCCAATGACTAGAAAGTGGTACAACAAGCACAAATCCTTTTGATCTTTCCTCTGCACTGAAACCATATTTTAAACCCCGCATCAACTGAATGGCTGACCAAATTACAACATACAATAGAGTGTACCAATAGATTATCACAACAAAATTTGGCTAAAAGGTGCATCCATTCATAGAGTTCCAGAGAAATCACTTTAACATGTGAGGTAACATCTCATTAACAATGTACTGCGAAAAATGCATTTTTGTTGAGTCATTTAACTGATCCAAGAACTTATAGATGTCCATGGCTTCCCAGACAAAGGTCTAATAGAGATGATTGGATTCCAATGAAGTAGACTTCAACAGAGATGTAACACCAAACAATTACTGTGTTGGGCAGAATGCATTTGCTGAGGCTCAAAAGTTTGTAAGTCTCAACAGTCAAGTATTTATTATATATTGCCTTACCTTGCACAGCTTGAATATCCTATTTCCAGCATAAGATCAGCCAAATCATCTTCCATCTAGGGGAAAAAAACAGACTGTGTCACTTTTAGACAACAATGTCTAAATTGAAAGGTAACTCAAATCAAGCTTAATTTGCCATGATGATGATGTGGCCAGTAGATCATCCTGTGTAATAAATAAATACATGTATTTATTCCTTTAGTTATTCTTTATATGTCCAACTGTTACTTTCAGACGCCATATTTCAATGCACTTTCTTGCTTATTGTCAGATATGAAACTATGGTGAGAGCAATGTTTCTGCTCTTTTCATTTTTTGGTTGCTATCCATTACTTTTGTTGTTTCAGGAACCTTGTTACGAGTAATTGTTCTAAAGAGACGCTTCAAGAAATTTCCATGATGACTTGCATACCGTAGAACTTACCAGAATACTTCACCAGGTCACACACTTATTATGTGATACTACTAAAATAGTTCTTATGTAAGCTTCTGGAATGTTCCAGAAAACTTTGTGAATATATGCAAAGACTCACTTATGTACAAGTAGGAGTAGTTGTTGTCAGAACAACAACTGTTTTGAAAGCTATAGCATGAGAGAGTTACTACAGAAGATTACTCATTTCAAGGAACTTTGGAGATAGCAGTGAGATTGTGTCAGTGGTGAGCTAGAATATATGTGGTGTGCCTAATTAAGTTTATTAACAGTAAGTATCTAACAGTTTTTAGAAGTCGCTCCTTGTTAAGAACATTACTCAATGTTTAATAAAGTAGCTGAGTTTGTGGAATTGTAGCATTTTTCTGTTGGTTACATTATACTGTAACAACCTTTGCATCATAACTTAAAATGACGGATTTGTGAAAAAAAAATTGCAATTAGAAATTGAAAAATGGAAGAAGTCATCTGCACTTAACATTGTGTGGACTCTGTGTAACATAAGAACTGTCTGAATAATTCACATTTGAATGACTAAAACAACTAAATGTAGGAATTTACCACTACTTTTGAAGGAGTTGATGGCTCTGGAAAAAGGCTGAAAAAGAAAACAGATGCATTTGAAATTAAAATACTACAGTACAGTCTTCACGCATCACCTTTGCACATTACTGCCAAGAAATAATGAGTGCCAGATAAAACTGCTAACAAAAGTGCAATACACAAAATTGGAAAGTCAAAGAGGTTAAAATTTTAGAAATGTGATGTCACGTTCCAATCCCAAGGGAAGATATAATGATGAGTAGCACAATCACCATACTCACTTCTGTAACATGTATGGAAAATGTGAAAATTGCTAGTTTGGGAAAAAATCAATTCTTTAGGTCTGTTTTAAACTCACATTTACTATTACAACTGATTTATTTCAAACTATTTCATTTTTGTCGCATTTGATTCAAATTTGTATTTACCCGGTAAGTTGATGAAAAATATTATTGCGTAATCAGGTTTTAGAAAACCGTAGCGACTGTCTTACACTGATATTTCTCCTTTTATAGTCAATCCTTTAGACTGATTTTTCGCTTTTTTAGAACACCAAGTATGAGCATTTGGTTGATGTATTTTTGTTCCCACAGGATTCCAGTTCAGCCAATCTGCGGACAACAACTTGGTGTACTTCCAAATTCTGAAACCCAGTGTTACACAAAGGATACTCAGGAATGATGAATCCTTTCTAAGCGTTTTAATAAACTTGAAATGTCAAAGTTTGGCTCAAATGTAGTGTTTATTGTGTGTTATCATTAGGTGTAATTTGTTTGCTCAAATGAGCTTTCTTTTCACTGAAAAATGTATTTCAAAAATTTTACCACTGAGATTGTGTTATGCATTACAACCAAAATTGGCTCAATTTTTCATCTTTCCCGGGTATTTTCTCTAAGACAGTAATGTGGTTTTCTGATTTTATGCTTTTACAATAATCAACAAGAACAACTTTATCTGTAAGCAAAGATTTGGCTTCAATGAAAATGTAAAACAGAAGAAATTAGTGAAAGTTTGCAGTCAACCCCCTATGGGCATGGTGATTGTGCTACTCATCAATAGATTATCTTATTCTTACTTCAGCTTACAATGGTAAGCTGAAGTACAATGTTTGGTATATGAAAATGATAATTTATACTTCCAGTGAGCTTCAGCGATAAAGTGAAAGCCATACTTTATTTTTTTGCATACCCACTTCTTATGAATAAAATTATGAGAAGTGAAAGTGGTAACTATTGTAATGCCAAGGGATGACCTTAACATAATCTTACTTGTCAGTTGAAATATCCTTTGTCTCGGGATAAAGAAGAGGAGCAAGGACTACAGGCACACGTTCTTTGGGAAAATCTGGGAAAGAATGAAGAGTTTTACACTTCAATTTATTAGTGGCCCTCAGCTATCCAATTAGGTCAGAAAAAAATTTAAAAAATATATGTCAACTCCTTTCCTTATGGTGCAACAAATTCCTCTTCTGTTGAAATCATTTTATATTTCGACAAACACGCAATTTTTTTTTTTAATGTTCAAGGAGCAAATTCATAAAGATGGTAAGGGGCAATTGCAATAAAATAAACACAGATAAATGCCAATGCCTAAAGCTAAAAATGATGGTAAAAAATAATGACACAAACCTTTCTTTAGGGTTTCCAAGAAGGTAGACACTTGATCATCTCCAACTCCAACCTGTTCTCTTGGTCCATGGATCACATGAGACAAAACGCGATGTAACACTTCAATAGCAACATCAGTCAAGCCTCCTTCCTGTACACCTCCAACATCTGATGAAAGATTGAGAATCTTTTCATTATGTTTTCTTCTCTGGATAAGAAAGAGAAGTGTTGCTCTGAATGTGATACTCTAATGACTTAGAAACAGCTCTTTGTGGTATTGCAATGATATTGCAGATAGACACTATCTCTAGACTGTTCATTATGGCTAGTGGTTTCTGTGGAACTAAACCCCATAGAAAGAGGCTAGAAGTGCATTAACCATGTCAGTGTCAGCTGTATGCACAGTACTTCTCAGATGTGGCTACACAGAAATTGATAACATGCATGTACTCTCAGTGACAAAATTAGCCAACAAATATATCAATATCCCTAGAAATTTTTTAAAAAATAATTATGTCAGGAAAAGGAACTGCAGTTTACCTCAGTGCCCCCTTCCCATATCCTAGTACAAATTAAAAGTGCAATAGTGTACTGGGGGGCATGGGAGAAAGTGGGGGAGTTAGGGGTGATATAGGTGTCTGCCTCTTGAATATGTACACTATTTTGATACAATACTTTCAAAGCTGAAGTTTTGAGTGTTAGCCCTTAGCTCTGACAAAGGCTAACTCTTACAAATGTCAGCTTTGAAATTCTTTCTGGTGGCCAATTTACGTTACCAACTCAGATGATAAAACTAAATTACCCTGTTATGCTCTCCCACCAACACATTACCACAGTTTTGTTGTTGTTGTTTTTTTTAAACAAAATTACCCTCATTGATTGTATATAGCTGCCAACTCCTAATTAACATCATTGAAAAATCTCTCACCTGCATCAGTGTATGATCTCAAAAGGTCAGGCAACTTGTGTTTGACAAATTGGCCAGCTGTAAAGAAAACAAAACCAGCTGAAACAAATCTTCAAGAATGATAAAAACAGCTAATGACAACAAAAATAGACAGACATAAACCCTTTCACTCCCAAGATCTAATCAATAATTCTCCTTACTATCTGTCATACAATTCTTATGATGTTAGTTCAGAGAATTTGGTATTGGATCAACTAATAATCCCATTATTGATATTCTTCCCTATTCTCATCACCTACCTGCTTGTTATTGTATAGTTATTGTAAGGAGAAATTCTGTCTTGGTCACTTGTGGAAGTGAAAGGGTTAATACTTGAAGAGCTTTGACATATACACATGTAGCAAAGACCTACACATATGTAGCTGTACCAACACACATACCATGGTTTTTTAAATCATCATTTGAGGAACTTAAAAGGCTAAGGCCAAATATTACCTGCAAAATAAGCGTCAGAAAAGAGGAAAATTTAAGGTAATGTACAAAGCAAGCAGAGTACCAATCCTGCTTATGTGTAGTCAACACATGCAGGGTTTGAGAACTGGAACAATTTTTACTGTTTGGTTCTTACATCTCTGCTTGGGACTTCAACATTCTAGCTTGCACTGAGACCTAATCCCTGTAGCAAACTGCAGTTCAAGTTTGGAATTTTACACCTTCAAACATCAATCAAAGTGGCTGTCTGAATATTATGTGCCCTCTAAGCTTGTTGAGGTGTGTCTGTACATATACATGTACTGTAGCTACAGTTGTATGGCCATTTTACCTTTCTATTTTCCTCATGTTATGGTATGATATGAAAATTCAGTGTATTCAAGCTGGCTAGAGGTGTATGGTTCTCTAGAATTTTTTAGTCCATCTGGTATTTATAGATGTAGACAATTAATAAATTCAGTTCATCATTAATAAAGACGAACCGCACACCAAGGAGCAAGGGCTGGAACAGTTATAAAAACAACAAGCACTTCTCATTTAGTGTTCCATTCTAAAAAGTAGTAGTGACTGCATAATAAAGGAATATTAACTAAAACAAATTTACAACAGCTGTTACTTTTAACCCTATCAGATGTCTTTTGTCTACATTCATTACTGGTATTATCAAAGCAGATGAAAAACGAGGAGGACCAAAAGAGAATAAGCATGCACAACTTATGGTAACATCTGAAAATAAACTTTTACAAGGGGTCAAGTGACTATTTATTCAATTTTCTTTTATGGAGTCATCCATTTGAAAATTTGTATGGATGCATAACACTATAATTACATTCTCCACATTCCTAATCTAGTTAAAAAATATCAAGTAATCAGTCCAACAACTTAACTTAAGATTAGAAAGCTCCCACAATAAGATGCAGTTTTCAGTTTAATTCAATCTTTTGATTAAACAAACACATAAAAAAAGAATCTTGTTCATAGAGAAATAGCATACTTTCTGACTCACAAGCAAAATCTCTGTAAACAACCTTGTGTAGCTCAGCCTATGTGGAACATATAACTTAAAAATTAGCAACTTTCAAGGGTCCATACCAGCACAAGGTCTCAGAATTTTCATTGTCCCCTAATAGAAGCAGCCATTTAACACCTCTCAACATTTACAGCAAACTAATTCTAAAATAATCTTGTAATCTTGTGGTTAATCTTGAAAAAAACCACTTCAGTCTTACCTCTTGTACTTTGTTTAGCTTCAATACTCTGCTAATATTTGGCAGTAACTGTTGGGAAGGTCTCAGCGTCCTTTGCTTATGTTCTGGCGTCTCGATGGCGTAACACAAAATGGAGGAAAAGTTCGGTTTGGAAACAAGCATCTGGCATTCTTGAATTAGGAACTGGCACTTAATGTAGAAACAGGAAGCTCTTTAGCAATCCAGACAATAAATAATGCATTAGGTCGCAAATCATTGTATGAATGTTTTTATTTAGTCTCACTGTCAAATAAAGAAACTGAAGAGGTCATATCTCCTACCAAAAAAGGAAGTGATAATGACAGACAGAAATGGCATAATAACCTGTTCAAGAGCTTAGATATTATCAAAAATAAAAGGACCAGACCTACATGTATTTTCTGTCTTTCAAACTACTCTCTGAAAATCATTTTGTCTACCTGACAGTCATAACAAACTTATATTGCTGTATATGAAAATTCAATACAAACATGCTGTATACAAACTGATAAAAAAACAGCATTGCCAGACAGAATAGGAATTTATAATTACAAACAATATTGCCAAGTGAATCTACAGCTTCACTTTCAATACACTTTGCTTTATCTGATATAGGTCTTAAAGATGTCCTTGCAACTTCATACAGACACAGACAGTATCTCTTCAATTTTGTACTATTTCCCTTTGTAAGATAAATATCCACATCACAGACTACATCTCCTTAAACACTTCCCAAGAGTAAAATGCACAGTTCATGTGATATGGTTAAATTTTTAGTGATGACAAGACACAGTAAAAAAATTACACCACAACATACAGTATATAGTGTACATTAGTATGCATTTTAATCCCTTATTTTTATGCAATTAAAAAATTACCCTCCTTCTTCCTATAAAACCATTATATATAGTCTATTTTTGTCTTCTTGATTGACAGTCACTGAATACACACTGCAATGTGCAGGCATCTACTTGGGGAAACCACACAAGCTCACCCATCTTCTGCATTAATTTAAGTAAGTAAGTAGTGAAAATTGTGTTCTTTATATTGCTGGTAAGCCATTAGCCAACCATGTTGCCATCTAACAATTTTTTACTTAAAATACTGATGAAAGAATTCTTTAGGAGCACAATGTACATTTAATGATTACTGTATTTACTTGTGTATAAGTTGACCTTTAATGACCAAAAACTCAGCCCAAAAAATCACCCTCAACTTATACACGAGTCATATACAAAGACCTAATCCCAGCAGTCCAAGAAATTAGCATAACAATTGCCTGAAGTCTTTTCAGAAATCCGTGTATGCTTAAATCATGGTAATATAAACAAGTGCTGATGAACTTAACAGCACACAGTTGCATTTTGCACTGCAGTTTATTAATTTGCCATGTTTTCAATACATCCTCAGAAATAAGAGATTAATTTTTTGGGAAATTTCTATCAGTCTGAATTCTACTTCTTTAACTAAATAAGATGAAAATACAATTTTTAACCTTGAAAATGGGGGGGTTAACTAATACACATGTTCAACTTATACATGAGTAAATATGGTAGTCCAGCTCATCAGTGAGGTCTCTGCTGCTCAATTAGCAGAGCCTATAACTCTGGAATAAGTTTTGGCTTGGGTTCAGATCCACTCCAGGAGCTTAGATTTTTTCCTCCTCACAAATTGTGACAAATTTTCAATAATGTTAATCATTTTTACTTTAAAACCAACTGTTTCTGTTTGCTCTGGCCATCAAGAGATAGCTTAAGAATTTTGTGTAATAGTCCAGCACAACAAGCTATGGCTGTTTTTGTCAGGTACACCCTATAGCAAGTACAAAAAATTTTGGCATCTACATTTTTGAGTTATTATTTAAAAAAAAAATTACTCTATGTTAGCATATAAGGTAGTATGTTGCTTGCACCAATAAGATTGCTGTATTAAGGTATGTATCTTGCACCAATCAGATTGCCGCATTAGGGTATACATCTCCCACCAATCATATGATAGCATTTGAATATCTTGCATCAATCAGAGCATTTGGGTATTGTTTTCTTTTAAATGATGTCAAGGATTGCAGGGCTATGCACAAAGAATGACATTAATCAGAAATACTGGGCTCATTTGATAACTGTGATGGTTTATGGCCTTCGCGAGAACCTTGTCGATTAAGGATGAGATTTATTGGGATATGAAAGGTATGCATTTAAATCAAATAAATTTAAGTTAAAACATGTTTTTTCCACTCCTTTACTCACAACACACATGCCAAACAACTTACATTCTGTCATATACAACGAAAACAATGTCCAAAGTCCAATCAGAACATACCCAATCATTGCACTACAAGAACATTAGGCAATTTTTCACATGCTTGAATTGTATTCCACCAGTCAAATTCAATTTTGCCACATTGGACTTCCCTCTATCATGTGTCATTTCCTGGTAAACAACCTGCATTTTATCACATATTCTAACTGCATTGTGTGACCCCACTGAAAAAATTTACATATACTACTAATATTGAGTTTTCCACCCAATTCTCCCACATTTGACTTTTTCTACGAATTAAAGTCACTTGAAGCTACCTTGGACTTAATCCAATTGCATGTGAATTCCTTGTAAAACAACCTGCATTTTATCACGTATTTCACTCAAAAAGGGCAAAGTCCAGATCAGCAACAACCAATCAAAGAGCCCTCTTTGAAATATTATCCATTTCTCTTGTTCAATGTATTTTCACTTAATCAAAATTGCAATATCTTTGGTTAGGGTCTATTGGAATTATATTTCTGAGGTAACTGTATATGAATAATTTTAATTTCCTCTTTAATAGGAACAGCAGTAAGTGTAGTCCGTTATTTGATCTTATCAGGCAACGCGCTCTCTCTCAAATGCAAAATAGAGGGCATTGTGTGACATGACCAAACAACACCTGCAAAGGAGACAATAGTAAGTGTGACACAGATGCATTATATTTTAACTTGGAAGTATTTAGACAATAGAGACAGTAGATCACATAATATTTGTGTGAGTTCAGATAAAATTGGTTTTTTTCTGTCTTTCATTTTCATTTTTTTTTTTAAAGTTATGCTCTTTTTGGTAACAAAAATGAAAACATTGAGAACACAAACTGTTCCATCTCAACTTATCCAGCCAAAAAGATAACTCTTGCATGCTACACATGCCTATGTTTAGCAAAAGTCACCAATTTGTCAAACTACGTTTTGCAGTCATGTAACAAGCTGATACTGATACATGAGCATCAATGCTTCATCATTTTCTTGCATAAACAAATTGTGAATAGAGTATAATTTATGATGACCATGTCAGGATGTGAAGTTGCCAAATAGTAACTTGGAAAAAGGTTGAGCTTTGAGCCCTGTGCCCAGAGAATTCTTTAACTTCCCCTACCTTGTAAAAACCCTATGAAGCCATACTCACCTGCAGGAAGTCTTTGCCGTTATTCTTTCCATCACCAGCAAAGTCAATAAAAGAGAATAAGCAACGGAATAAGTGACGCTCTGCCTCAAAGCCATGTTTTTCAATAAGCTGAAAAATGAATTTTAGGAAAACATAAACTTAAACAGTTTTATGATGATGCAGCAGTATCAAACTTCATAGAGTACATCTCATCCACAAAATGAAACATGTATGGTATGCTTGATTTTTCATTAAACTTAAAAGGCTGAAACATTTTATTCCGTGAGAAATTAGGAATATGAAACTAAGAATTTGACCAAAATATTTTGGGTTCACTACCTGGGTGTATGTAGGAAAAATACTGGTTGACATCAAAGAGGTCACCTTCTCTAAGCATACATAACTGGTGTTTATGCAATGTTATGGTGATAAATTACATTAACGCTCACCTCGTGTATTTCTTTTAAGGTCGCTTTGTAATTCTTTTTGGTTAAATCGTTGACTGCAAAGCTAATTTGCCCGAGAGCTAGAGACAAAGAGTCTACACATGTAGTCATCTTTTTGTCAGACCACCTTCCAAAACACACCCCAAGAAATTTAGCCTCTGGTCACCAAATTTACCGAAATAAAACTATCATCTTTTCCATGTTTTTAAGAAAGAGATGCTTCACGTCATCGTGATGGGATCATTTATGTTGTCGCCATAAAGAGGGCACAACTATCACTAAAAATTTCAAGCAGTTAATACAAAACGAAAATGGTCGCCGAGCACGATGATATCCCACAGTTCCTGTTTTTGTTACTGCAAATAAGACCAGCGGTATCTTTTCTGTCGGAGTATGCGCACTAGCAGGAGGGAGGGTAGCTAGTTTCCGCTGTCGCACGATTTCCTTCAGTAACTTAAACAGATTTTGATTTCTCTTTGTGAAAAAGAAATGGCTGCTACCCTACGTCCTTATCTGAATGCCGTCCGTGCGACTCTCACTGCGTCCATGTGTTTGGAAAATTTCGATTCCCAGGTGGTGGAAAGGCATAACAAACCTGAAGTGGAGGTCCGAAGCAGTAAGGAGCTGCTTCTAACGCCAGTCATCATCAGCCGAAATGAAAAAGAGAAGGTGCTCATTGAAGGTTCCATCAACTCTCTGAGAATCAGCATTGCTGTGAAACAAGCTGACGAGATTGAAAAGATCCTGTGCAAGAAGTTCATGCGTTTTATGATGATGCGTGCCGAAAACTTCTTTATCCTTCGAAGGAAGCCAGTTGAGGGATACGACATAAGCTTCCTCATCACCAACTTTCACACGGAGCAAATGTTCAAGCACAAGCTTGTTGATTTTGTTATTCAGTTCATGGAGGAAATAGACAAGGAGATCAGTGAAATGAAGTTGGCTGTCAATGCTAGGGCGCGTATTTGTGCAGAAGAATTTCTCAAGAATTTTTAGAGTTGAAACTTGTACAGATCAGCACCATTCAACAAACTCAGTTCAAACTTTAAAAGGAGTTTTTCAATTCGAAGATTTGTTTTGTAATTAACACAGCAGAATATTTTAAAGTTATGATTGTTTCAGACATATTGCAGTGAACTCACAACATGAAGGAAACATGTATTATAACACTTTAAAATTAAAGTAGATGTCATTGTCTATTAAAATTTTTTTTGTGTGTGGTCTATTTGATAGGCATGCTAGGGTTGTCACACCTTGCAGAGAGAGTTCTTAACTATCCTGAGTCTTCCAAAACATAGCCTAGTCTGTAACTCTTCTACCATTTCATTTAACATATTCAAGGAGATTCAAATGACCATATGATCCATACCCTGAATATTATGAACTTACAATGTACTTGTGCTTGAAACCTCAAGTGTGAATTTGTGGTATTGTGTAACTGTGTATTTTACCATTTCATACTGAGGGGCTGTTAGAGATCCTATGTTGATTGTAAACTTCTCAAGAAATGTTTTTCCTCAGAACATTGCCCTGCTGTTTGCTTTTCAGTTTTGTGCTTAATTTTGGAGAAGATCCAAATTTTGAAGCATTGTATTTCTAGTAACTTATGTTCTGCTTTGGTAAGACTCCTTCCCAATAAAGTTCTTGCAAACAAAGTTGATATAAGGGTGAAACATTGTCACAATTGGATACAAAACTAGAGTAAGAGCACTCCCCACTCTTCTTCCAAGGACTGGTTGAAGTGAAATACAAAACTATCACTCATGAAAGTGATAAAGTCCTTATGATCATATCTAAAGACTCTATTAAGCTAGTTGCTTTTTTTAACTGCAATAACCGATGCCCTGATTTTGTTCTTTGTGTCCAGTAGGACAGCAGTTCTCTAATGTCCTATAGTCACTTGGAAGCTAGAGTTATTGTCCCGTTGAATTGGAGAATAAACCATGGAATGAACATAGCATCCTATTAATAGGTGCAGCTTATCAAAAGTAATCTCCAGTTGTGTCATTGTACAGATGGGAAATGATCAATGAAGGGGTTCAGGTTTGGGTTAGCTCCTATTTCTATCTTACTAAGAGTGGGTAGTAAAGTCAGAGTGAGTCCTGATTCCTTTTCACACAAATTTTGAGAAAATTTCACACATCACTCATAAGGTAAACAGTTCTGTGTGCATCAAATTCAAAAGAGAAAGCTTCAAATCACACCTTACCTTGCCTTCCTATAAAAATTCATGCCTCTTCTTTAAAGTTTTGACTTATCACACTCTAAACAAGCAGGTGGGGCCTATACCATAGTGGTAGTTTCAAAATAGGAAGAGAATGAAATTTTAATATTACACTCTGACATTGTAAAAGCCACCAAAAATATGTCACTGCTGGCTAAGGCTCATAAAAATTTGTTCTTAAGTCTAAGAGATAAAGTTGGGTGTCTTGGCTTGTCAAAAGCATGGGACAGAAAAGGTTCTGAATTCCTGCGAGGAATCAAGGCCTCAGACATTTGGGGCCAGTTATTTACACAAATTCTAACCCAGACTGCAGTTTTATGCAAGCAGTGGGCCTTGGGGATTCTCTTTAAAAGAGTTGATATAATTAAATGTCCTTTCACTACTAGCTTTTAGCACTCTTGACACTGTTCACAAAAAAAAAATGTTCAGATAAAAGTTTTGCATTTGGCTAAATTGAAGATGGCTAAGAATGCAGTGCTGTTAAACAACAGCTTTTAATCTTGTCTCAGGCTTCCAAGAAGATTAAATGAAATACTTTTGAAATCAATCCTTCACTGCTCCTCTGTGATGTATGGTCAGGGAAATGAACAAATTGTGAGACCCTAATACAGTCAACCTTGTAGTATGTGGCACTGTATTGAGCCATAACCCAGAATTAAGCAGTTAGTTGTCAAAGTCCTAAATTTTTTAATTTTTGCATCCATTGAGCAGTCACCTCAATTAAGCATGGTCACCCTTTACAGGCTTGACTGTAAACTGTAGTGAGTTCATTATACCCTTTCTTAACAGAACAAGCAGGGGCAGGGCAGACAAAGAACAGAAAGCCAATGGCCAGACTGTGCCGGACAAGAAATGGGTGAAAACTATTGCTGTAGAAGACAATCACTTTTATTGATTGTGAAGAGTACAAAAGGCTGCGCTTGAACAAGGTGGCCCATCCATGCTGAGCTTATCCTGGTTTCTTTAGCATGAAGTGATCAGGAGTATTGCTAATACCAGTGGGTAGAATGTAAGTTCATTTCAATTCAAAGACATTTTAGAAGTTTTACACATTATTCATGACTTTATCATGCACACTTCACTAATGGCCAGATAATGTAAGCTATGGTAATTCATCAACCCCACCAGAAAACATCATTGAGGTCACAAAATCTTCTTGTGTTTGAATGATCTCTCATTCAGTAGTTACACTAAAGTATGTGCAGACATTTTGCTACTTTCCCTGCCCCTCATAGCTCTTGGAATGAAAGCTGAAAATGTATGATCTTAAATCAACTCTCCAACCCAACTGCTAGATTAACACCTGCCCAGTCTCTCTCCATACTGAAGTCCCTGATTGCGTGAACATTAATCAGAAATAGAAATAAAAATAAAAATAATCCATAAAACATAATTGAAAAGAATCTCACATGATTTTATATTAAAAAAACAACTTGTAGTACTGTATGTAATTTTCCCTCCTTAGTGGAGAATACATATACCCTATTTATTTGATTAAATGCAGTGGTGTTTATTAATTTTTTTGTGATTTGAGTGAAGCATTAATTCAAGGGCAGTTTTTACATGAGGACAGCATTTACACATTTATTTAAAATCCAATTTAATATTTGCAAACAATAGTATGATAACTGACCATTTTAATTTAAAAAAACAGAAAGTGACTAAAGATCTAATGTTGGAAATGCTTTCTGGACATCAGAATTGGTTCATTAAAAATGATTTGTGTTTGGCTCACTCAAAATTTCCAACTGTGATCTAACCAATGATTGCTGTGTGCTTTTTGAGTCTATTATTCAAATAAACACAGCATCATGATGCAGCATTTATGCGAGGGTAGCGTTTATCAATACTTCTGCTCTAAAATGCTGCATTTCTTTAAGGGCCACATTTAATCGAATAAATACGGTGTATCCAGACTTCTTCTAACTCTTTAAACTCTGAGAGTGAACAGCATCTAATTCTTCCTTGACGTAATACTAATAATAAGCTTTTATTGTTTGATGAATACTCATTTTCAGTACCAAAAAAAATGCATAAAGAAGAATATGAAGAATATGGATATTGGGGTAAAAAGGGTAAGGAAACAAGAGGGGTCCATTCTGTATATGGGAGATTCTGAGATAATCTGGAAGTATTGGCATAAATGGCACTATACACAATCAATTCTACAGTTAAACCTTCAGCAGTCACCTTTGGGGAATGGCATAGTGACCACTTAATACAGTTTGACCACTAAACACAGGTTCCAAAGATTAGGGGTAATACAACACCACTTTATGTCATAATTGACCACTTAATGTACAGAATCTCCCCACAACTTAATAGAAGTGACTGACAAATTCAAAATGAAAGCAATTTTATTGATATTGTATCATTATTTGAGAGGCACATAATAATGCTCTTTACAAGTATGTTTATATGTTCATTAAGCAAAAAAGTTCAAGAACAACTTATAGTGGTATTCATTCCACCTAAGTGTGTACTTGGAATTTGTGAAAAAATGTAATTACAGAAAAAGAAATATAAGCCAAAGTAAAGCTAATGCAGTGGCCTTTTGGTTTTAAATCAAATTAAGCTCATTTTAATGTACAAATGGACAAATGTACATGTACTAGGCATATTATTTCATGGTATTTGTCTACAGCATTTTCAAATTTGTTTATACCATAGAAAACGGTTCTTTTCAAATTCATTACAAAAAATCAATCTGATGTACTCTATGTACAGCATTTTACAGTATAAAGTACAAAACCTCTTTGTCGTATGAAACATTGATCAAAGAAATAATCAGCCAGAATAGCTTGTGTATTTCTTGCAAGGACCAAAAAAATTATTGAACTTGAGTGCTAAAGACACCAAACTAGATGGATAAGATCAAGGAAAACTTTCCAGTGGTATTTAAAGAGATAATAATTTTAAGGTTATTTGGAACCAAAACCTTACCATGAACCAGTTATGCACTTTCACACTCAGAGTAAAATATTTGTCAAATACCAAGTCTAAACTGTTGTCTTTATCAAAATTAATTAACAAATAGAATGATTGTAATTATCAAATGATTATTGAATTGTTACCATTGTAGGGTAACACTGCAAAGGTACAGCTATACTTTTACAGGGATGTGATTGATTTTTACTACTTATTGCTTGACTGCATTTTACACTGGAATTCCAACTCCATATTTGATGCATTGTAAGTTGATGAGTAAGAATATGAGCTGTCCACCTTTTTTTAAATCTTTCCCCTTGTGAAAATGGTATAGTGTGCAGAAATTTGCAAAACAAATGTGTAATAGCCTACATCTTTAGGTTACCAAGTCCTTTAAGGTTCTGATTATTCACCTCTGGTGTAACAGAGACAGGCCAATATCCCACATGTGTTTGGGAGATAGCATGGTTCTGATTGGTTATTTTATCTGGAATGGCCCAACAAACTTTTTGACTGATTTTGAAGTGCCACATGATAAGCACAGCTGTTAAAATAATAGCTACAAGAATAAAGATTATAAGTAACTTCATAAATGTTGATATTCCCTTTTCATGCAGCGTAGTGGTGGTTGGAGTCTTAGTAACATCCTGCTCACCTCCATCTTCATCATCATCGTCAGCCCTAATTCCACCTGCTTGTGCACTCTTACGGCATTCTTTCTGTTCTTGATCAACGTCGTCATCAGGATTACAAAGGGGCAGGCACTTTCCCAAATCACAATGACACAGCATTGAGCAGTTGGGACACAAATCGTTAAATGGTTCTTCACATCCTTTCTTACAAACTTTGTTACACATTTTAGAATCAGTTGGTGTGATGTTGCGATGATCTTCACATGTGCCATAAAGCCGAATGGACCACTTTTTAAACTCCCCCTCAAAGCCTTTGGTATCAGTGACCTCTAACTTCCAGAGGCCTGCAGGATTCTCACCCCAGCTGAACACAGTCATAAAAGGCCAGTTTTGAAAACCATGACTAGAATAATCTCTGTCTCTGGGGGCTAAAAGCTCTGATTTAGTACCAGCAGGTGAAGTTAAAATAATTCTTAAAGAGCCTCTTGATTTATGACTCAATGTGATGTATACTCGTACATGTTCTAGTTTCATAACACAGTTTGTCTTACTGGAGCAGCCTGAACTAATAATTGATGATGTGAGAGTCCCTTTGGCTGGGATCTTCTTGTTATCAGTGTGATCCTGTTCTCGGCACATGTGCTGTTCAGCAGCAGGTCTCCAGGTGGGAGAAGTGGCAGCTGTCACAAGAGCATCTGTGTCTAACACTCCAAATCCATACTTATGATTCACACGATGTCCTGCACCATTTCTCTGCCAGCCTTTGTCTAAACGATCAGTTATTTTGGAAGTCTTGACAACCAGATGCTGCAAATCTCTCCAGCTTAATTTAGGATTTGCCTCTAACACCAAAGCAAATATACCTGTAAAGTAAAATGGTCTCTGATAAAAATACAAGAAATGTAAGCTAAACTATTTTTGAAGAAGAAAAGCCAGCTAAAAATAAAACCAAAAATATTATAAAAGTCCAAAAGATTCACCAACATCAATATATGTTCTAATGTTATCACTATTGTTAGATCAGGCAAGTTGACTTTTCATCCCCACAAAGTTATACCTTTGTAGCAAGCACAAAAGAAACTTTAGATACAACAAGTTCTAGGCCTTGTATAACAAGTGTTTTATGCAAAATACAAAAGTCATAGAATCTGCAGAACAATAATAAGTTTAAAAAAATGTTATTTCAAATTTAATAAGATCAACCGTCTAAAAAAAGGCTTTCTGTCCAACAAGCAAAAGTGATGAAGCCAAAGGAACCACAAGCAATCTTTAACATGACACAGTCATCTGTAAATATAATATGAATGTAGACTATGCCACAAATATTCAAACAAGTGTCACAAAAATAAATAAGTCATATCATTTTAATATCTGGTATGACAAACACTTCATTTAAATCTCTTGCAGTGGTAGCTGTAGATATTGATAACAAAACAATTTTTTTTTAATGTTTCCATTGCTGCTCAGTTGGTATGCCAATAACCATACCAGCCTTGCAAGAGTCACATTATCAATAACACAGAATAATATTGTTTGATGATAAAATGTTTCTTCATCAGGTACTTTATAAGACCCTTGATATTGGAAACGCTTTGATTTCATTTGTGTTTCTTGAGAAGAATAATCATCACATGGAAGTATGACAATACAAGTAATAAATTCTCATCAATAATCCAAAGAATAGCTGTAAATGAAAAGAGCTTAAAATACCAAGAAGGGCCAAATTTTATTAAATAATTATTTTAGGTACAGATATGTTCATCCAAGCTTTGTTACTCAGGGCTAACAGTGAATAAGAGATACACTCTAAATGATGTTGAAATACAAAAAAAAGGGCTTAAATCATTTAACTATTGGGCAACGATTGCTGTCTTGCCTTCACAAAAAAAATTACAGCAGTCTCACCAACTCAGACAATTTTCCATTAAAAATTTATCATAATCCTAGCAATACACATCTGGCTGAGAATGGGTATTTGTGACTGAAATTTATTTCATGTATTTCTAATCCTCGATTTGATAGATTATGTGACGTCTTGTACGCATGAGTGTACTACAAGCAGCAGAGTACATAGGTATACATAAAAAAAAAAACAAAAACAAAACAAACCTGCAGCAAGAGGTGCAGCAGCTGATGTGCCTGTGTGGCTTTTTGTGCACTGATGATGCAAATCAGTTGTAACTATCTGCTTGTCTGTACCTCTGGTTTCACCACTGCTGTAGGTTACAGCAAGAGTTGATGGACAGGGTTCTGCATACCACGGGGACTTGCCACGATCATTGACAGCACCAATGGATACAGTGAAAATGCTTGTAATGTAGCCATCACAGTTGCAGTAGTCATTATAGTGTCCACCATTACCTGTAGCCCAGACAAAGATGGCTCCCAAACCACCACGTCCTTTTCTGATCCCTGTAGCAAAATGCAGTGTTAGTTGGGTGCACATACATGTTTAGCTTGTCAGTTACTCAGTCAGCTGTTTCAACTAACTTTATAACAGAAATGCACACTCAAAACTACATTGAGACTAAAACTAATTAGGGCAAGGTTACAAATAAGTCAAGTAGCAGTTTCACCAAGAGCATTGCCTCATGCTTCATATCAGTTTGCCCAGTTTGCTCTTCATTTCTTCCTACCCTTTACAATTCTGGTAATTACTTATTCCACACCTCTACGTATTAGTGTTGCATTGACAGTTACTGGAAAGTGATTTGTGGTGTTGTCAAGAAGATAACACCCTCACCAATGGTAATATTGCTACCCTTCTCTACTTCCATTGTTACAGCTTCCAAAATCTAGTATTACAGACTGCATGTTTTAATGAATGTTATGCCAAAGTACCTTCTCTGAATGCTTTCTTGGCCATAGGACCTGGGCCATCCACAGTTCTTCCGTCATCATCTGGGCCCCAGCTACTACTGTAGATATCTATGAAGTCTTTATTAAGACCCAGTGACCAGGCCTCTATTGCATCAGTCACATCCCCATCTAGCATTCTAACACCTCCAATGCGTGAATTATAAGCCACACCTACTCCGCACTTGTTGTTATTTACACTGGCTGCTACTTCCCCTGCACACCTGAAAATTAATCAGAAACATCGCTATTTATAATAAAGTATTAAGAAGGCATTTCAACTAACTCTAACCAAAACAAATAAATTACCACCACTAATGAGGAAAAATTAAAATACCTTGACAGACCACTACAAGATGTTGCTAAGCATAAGAAAGTATATTAATTTATTTAGTCAAAAATACCAGAACTAGACCATGAATGAATTAAGAACAAAACAAATTTTCACATAAAACATAGTGACTGGCCAGTGTCTCCAGCAATTTGAGGATCTGTTTGTCTGGCCTAGAGCCAATTCTGATCAAAATAAGAATGCAAAGCTACCTTGTGCCGTGTTTATTGATGTTGTCTCTGCTATAACGAGGCATTGGATCACTGTCATGACTATTAAAGTCCCAGCTAGCCTTTGCTTCATAATTGTCTTTAAGATCAGGATGAGTGTACTCAATACCATCATCCAAAATTGTAACTATCACACCGCGTCCTGTGATATTTTTTCTCCACACTGGCACGACATTGATGTCAAATCCCCGAGGTCCTACAGTTTGTCCTGTAGAATATTGATAAGAAAGTGATATTCAAGGTGTTTAAACACAGTTTTCAAGTACTTGTCTGTCACTTAAAATTCTGTACCAAATAAAGATGTCAATAGTTTTGTCACAGGCACAAGAAAAAAATTGAGACCCCACCTTGCCCCAAATGCAAGCAATCTCACATATATACATTATGTACACAAGATTTGCTTATCAAGTTTTACCTACTGCAAATTTAGCATATGGAATTTGTCCAAACTATGTTGCTGAAACCAAAGGGGAATGACAGCATAACATTAATCTCTTAATCCTATTTTTCATGTAGCATACCTTCTAGTACATATCCTGAGATTAAGAGTGGATGATTTGAAAAGGTAGCAAAGTCAAGAAGCCCCAATTAAATTATGCACTTTTTTTTCATAAAAAAGTGGTAGATGAAAACAAAAAGTCTCCCAAAAAGAAGCTGTTTACTGGGGAACCCTTACATTTACAAATATTGACAGGATACTAAAGCTGAACACAGCCGTAGTAATGTTTTAAAGGGCTTGGAGAATAATTACAATACATTCAATTAGATAAATGGTATGTATGTTTTTAACCACTGTGTTCTAAATAAAGGCACTAATCCTTTCCCATTTCTCAATGTATTGGAGAGTTCATCCTTAAGAGCATCAAACACTGTACTGTGTACATGTAGGTATGCAAAGCTATGGTGAAAAGGGTCTTAAAAGATCATACTACATCCTGTATTGATAGGGCTGAAATACTTTATCATAGTAAGTATTTGTTACTGTAAGGAAGACACAAAAGGTAACTTGTCTTGAGAGGAGACTTGACTGGTATGAGAAAAAAAAGATTTAGATCTATGACTAATTGGAAACTAAGGAGTTTTCATGCATATTCACAAAAGAGAAAAATATTTCGACTGTATTGAATGATGTTTTCCTGTAGGCCACATTTTTGCAACATGCCTAAATTAATGTCATTAGTGAGAACACTCTTATTTCAACCTGAAAACATGCAGAAAAAATTTTAAGCTTTTTAAGAAGAGTTTCAACTGTAAGCATCTTAGACGTAAATATAAAACAAAATAGTACTCAAGAGGCTGCCAAAGTTTACATAGGGCAGAGAAAAAGGTAGGATGTTCCAGTAAAAGGTGCATTCTCAACTATCAGATATAAGCTGTAAGTATTGTTACAAAGGATTAAGCTAAGCTGAGACCAAATCCTCAAAGCTGACTGAAAAATAGAGCAATACATGCACAGTGCATTGCATTGCCTTGTTCTTGACTTGCAGAGTGTCAGAGAAACAAAAATACAACTTCAAGAGCAGGTGTACTGAAGAAGTAATTGGCTGTCTTTTTTTCTGAACTTTACGATTAGATGTTCAAAATAATCATGAACTTAGCCAGTTTACAATCCTATTTGCTTAATATCTCCCTGAGGTTAATAATAAGGCCAAAGGTTTCAAGAAATCCCTCATGCTAAGAAGCCATGTGTACCAATCTTGGGTCAGTTAAGCTGGTAATAGGACACTTGTGCAAAATTTCAAAAACACTCATCAATTTCAAATGCAAAACACAAAACATACATAAATTAAAATGCACAACATCAAACAAAATGCAATTAGACAATACCTACTTATATAATTATAAAATTTCCTTTTTCCTTTAACTAATTAATATACATGTCCTTGCAGTAATTGACATCAAACAGAGTTGCCTCACACACATCAACTTCAGGGATAATTACTCGAAAATAGCTTGAAAGAGTATTCACTGTTCTCTTCAATCATAAAACCCTGCCTGTTGAAAACTCTAAATGTTGTGATGGGAAAATAGAAATATCAGAGCTTTTAATCATGCATTAGGACATATGTCTCAATTTTCTCCAGATCCTCTAAAATTGACTTCTTCCTGAGAGGAACACATGTAACACTAAATTTAATTTAAAGGTTGCCATAATGTGCAGAAGCTTAAGAGTCTGGAAGGGATCAATTATTCAAATGGTTAATAAAGCAGCTCCTAGATTCAAAGTATACATTTTAAGCTTCTTGAACACCAATGTAAGATGACAAATTTGTCATAAAGAGTGCTGTTATCTCCAAAAAGAGCTATTAACCATCTGCTCATTGGGAAAGAATGCCTGTCTAAGACACCAGTTACACTAAATTAGCAAACATGTTAGTCTGAAGTCTTATCATTGAAAAATGATCTATATCTGCAAAGACCAGGGGGTGATTAATTAATGATCAAGTGTAATTAGAGGTAGGCTGGATGGAAATACATTCCGCATATTTGATTTTCATGTGTGCACTTTGAAATTCAGGGAACCAACACAAGGCCAAGCTATTATGTTGAGCAGTGGGGCTTTTTAACACAGCTGTAGTTCTTTCTCCTCTAGCCAAATTCAAACTGTGACCACTAGCTTTTATCAAGTATGCAACTGCTTCTTATGCTAACCACAATGAGATTTTTAATAAATTAGAAGAACATTCCAACAGTTGTGATTTTCCTTTATGAACACATGACTTACAGACGCCCTATACTTTATTTTTTAAAAAACAAAACATTACAAAACGAATTCACCAAATTGATGTCCTTTCGTTTTCTACCTAAGTCTTCGGTAGAGCGGCGTTGACTAAAAATTCAGCAAATAAATTGCACACGCCAAATGTGGGTCGATAATTGAATGCTAACGATTCCCTTTGTGTTTTGAGAGGTTCTGTCATTGAAGTCCCTTGCAAAAATAGATACCAGCAAAATCCAACCTCCAAGCCGTAGCTGAGCAGCTTTGATAAGATAAAGGGATTGAAGTTTGAAATTTGAATCCACAGGCAAAACGCATGCAAAACGCATTTACGGGATTAAAAGAAATAGCTCGAATCGATTCAGTTCGTTTATGGAATCACTTGTACGTTCACTCTGTTGGAGTGCAATATAGTTCATGACCGTTTTACAGGGCCAATAAGAGTGTTTAGTTTCAAACTCATAACTGTATTAAGTACACGGGAAGTTAAGGAATATTCACGAGGAATTTTTCATGCCCTAGCTTTCTAGATGTGTTTTCGATCATTAAGATAGGGCATCAAAAACACTTAAAATTCTACTTGAGGGAACATCGTGTATTATTCCTATTACTTGATCACTGTAAATGAATTTTTTTTTTGCCCGAAAGCCGACTGAACTAAATTCTACGCTAACTCTTACCGTCATCAATAAATTAATTTTACAGCAGACAAAATGTCTTGGCTGTCATGCAAAAAAGAGATACCACAAATCTAAAATATTTCTGCACGAACTCGAAATTTAAGTACACAAAAATAATTTTGGCTTTAACTCTGAAAGTCTTCATCGAACAAAATCAAGATTAGAAAGCTTCCATTAGAGAACAGCTTCCTTTACCATCATCTACACAATTCCGCTGCAATGAGCCATAACCAAAGCTAGATCTCACTTTTCAGTAGCACAAACACATTTACAACACGTTACATTACAGGGAGAGGAGATTTTAATTCATCGCAGACACAAAAATATATTTACAAATGTTTTACTTACCTGAGTTGTTCAAATACCACTGATCTTTATAATAAGGGTCTGAAAAATATCCTCGTTTAGTCCTTCTCAAAACTTTCTGCTGGCGAGCAAATTTCACTAAAGGTTCACGTAGCAGACTATTTGTGTGTTCCGGCGCATCTCTGCGAACTCGCCGCTTTCTGAGTGTTTTGTGTTCAAGCAAGAAATGTCCAGGGAAGCCTGCGATCTCTCCTCTGTTCACAAAACCATTTCTCTCTGCCAGATCGTCGACAAATCTTTTTTCCCTTTCGACATAGACCACCCATGTGTTGCCATAAACATCTTCATTTCTTCGTTGCAGCTTCAAAGCAAACGAGTTCATCACAATATAAGCTAAAATTAATCCTCCCTTGGCAACTAAAGCCATTTTTTCGAATCAGACGCGGCTAATGCCACCTTTCTCTAAAGAGACATTTTTCATCCGATGATTACTGATCGAGAAAATGGGAAATTTTTTCTGCCAACGTAAGCGTCGTCAGCTTCAGCAATAAATAAGTTTATGTGGTAGCATGCACAAAGAAAAGCTGGCCTTCAGGGTATGAAAACTTCCCGTGATTCACTCCTGTCGCACACCCGCGCACGCATCAAACATTTAAGGTAACAGCACGCGCGCGAGTTCTGCGTGATACACGTGTGATTCTTTTCTCTAATGGGCTACTGGAATCTCGCAATCTCGATTGTGGTGGGTTTTGGTGATTTTGATACAAATCAAAAGTCACTGTTTTGTTTTCTTTGTGCTCTTTTTTTAATCACAATCACCAGAACCATTTTTTCAATTTTGTCGGCTGGTTTAATATAAAATTGTTGAATAGAAGTTCAAGTTTGGCTGTGCACAGTTCATTCGATGCATTTTTTGTTGCCTCCCCATAGTCATTCTCGTCGCTCCCATAAAAAGACCCGCCACGCCTGGAGGCTTTCGGAACCCTGCTGCCAAACACAAAGATCAAGAAAATGAAACCAATTATGATGAGGTGTTTTTCTGTCCCAGAGTGAAAGCGAAACAACTTTAATTTGTTTGACCTGACCTCTGCAATTCGAAAAGCACCACCTCCTAAACAAACAAATGAAAGCGGTAAACTCCCGAGAGGCGACAAAGTCTTTTAAGAACTGACGTTCCAAACTGTTGTGGATAATATGTCGGCGCTTTGATCTTTAAAAGAGTTCGCTTTTTTTTTAATGCAAACTCTGCTTGAACAAACAATCCCAGAAGTCGGCGGATCGCCTACCTATGTGTAATGGATCTAATATAAACATAAGAAATGATGCAAAGTGAGAAACGAGGATCCATTTGTTTTGTTTTAGGTTTACGTGGGTCGGCATCAGATGTCAGTGTGTGTACACCTGAACATCACCGCCCTTGGAAAAATTTCTAAACCCAACCCATTCTTGTTTCTATTCAGTTGATAATAACTTCTTCTTGTGTTACCTTCTTTTTAAGTCACTTCCGATCCAAGGTGGGTTAAACATGGCAAATAATGAGAAGGTAGAAAACTGATGCAGATTCTTCTTTTATTAGAAACTACTAATAATAACAACTAACAATACGGGTCTCATTAATCAAATGTAGGACGTTTCTTTTGTTTATTCCATTAGTGGTTTCGAGTCGGTTTATGTTAGTCATGGTCATCGTCAAGCAAGCTGCGGTAGCTGAGGCGGAAATTGCTGGGTGGTGGCTGGCTGCATGCCTCGCACGGATCAAGTAGGGGCCCGTGAAACGAGAATGCCGGATTGACTGCAAGCGTTTCGAGGTGCATACCGATACGAGACGAGCACGTGCATCCTTAAGATTTTGTTTGATGCACTACAGGTTGAGAACTAATCCTGGCATACAAACTCTGTACACAAGCTAGACTTATCATCTGCCCTCAAAGCGTCTGAGAGAACAACGAGATCCTCCTCTCAATACTTGACTATTTGAATTAAATTGCTAAGCATCAACTGAATACTGAGTGACTATTTTAAATCGTTTCAATCGGAGATTTTCCTTTTGTTTCAGACGGAATTTAAGTAAAAGAGGAAAACAAAACAAAACAAAAAAGAAACGACTTATGTGAAGAGATAAAACTAACAAATTTGTACGCTAAGAAATTGTTACTGGATGCCGGAAACACGAGAGTCATAGATACATATCCTAACTGTTGTGTTAATGGTATTAGATTTAGGCACAGCATGTTTAACTGAGATGTTACAGCTGCGATAATTTCCAATTTCTCTCCGGAATAGTGGTGGAAACCCGCTCAAATTTGTGTTTAAAACATTCCTGGTATAACGTGAAAATATTTGAATTTTGCAAAGGAAGGATACTTTTTGGTCCTTTCTTAATAGGATTGGATGAAAACTAAGCCAAATTAAAGGTGCAATTTTAGAATTTGCATTTATCGAGGTGATAAATCTATCTTTTACGTTTTACATGTAACACTTAGCGTCTCTCGTTGTCTGGTATCTATTACGCCCTTCCTCTTTCTATGGTCAACAGCTTCAGGAAGGAACTCGTGATCGTGCGGTAACACTTCACTGCTTAATATGGAAAAGACGCAACGGTTGAAATTTTCATTTTTCCTTCCATTCTGATTGAAGCGGAATACTTTCAGTTTCTCTTGAGTACTTAAAGACCTCTTAAATTTAGGAAATGATAAGTGGTTTTTTTAATCCACCATTAGAATAGTGACATAGGCGAACCATTAACTTTGCTCTTTGGGCTTCCGTGCACCCTTAACTTGATATCACGAAATGAAGACGCTAGGCATCTGATAAGGAATTTATCGCACGGCAGAGCAACAGTAATTAGCGACAGTCGTCAACCAGTAATTGATTCGACCGAATTTTATTGCACCCGGAATTCTTTGTGTGCGTGGTTTTAGCCTTCCTAGTTTACTAAACTGTGTCATAAATATCGTCTTCAAGGGATTCACGGTAAATCAATAAATTGAGAGATAAGGAGTCGATGCTAAGAAAGCAGTTTACAATTGGTTTCTTGTATTTTTTTTTTTATCAAGTTCGAACTTAGAAGAAAGCGGTAAACAATTTTCAGATTATGTGGAGTGGGTAACCCCTCGGTTTGTGCAGTAGCAATCGCCGTTTGCAACCATCTGCAGCCATCCATGTTAATTTGAATTTTCGATTTGGTCTTATCTTTTTGTTCTACCCTGGCAAACTTTTCCCTTCGATTTTCCCATGTTACTCAATGATTATTTCATACACTTTGAAAATATATCGTGATATGGCTTCTTTCGCAAAGTAACACTTATTCAAGGTCAGGAATTCCGGAAATGTATTTTTCGGCAAATACAATGGCATTTGTCATGAAAAGACACAATACAACCGCATTTTTCTGCCGTTGTTTGATCACCTTTGGACTGCAATTTGAAAAGAATTTCAAAATTCTTTCTATACAGTCTGGCTGTAGCCCACGCGCGGCGAACTCGAGTTTACTTGGTCGTGGCGCTATTTTAAGGTGGTAAGTAAATATTACAATATTACGAAAGGGGTATGTTTATCAGCTCAAGTGCCATGCTAACTTGGTCGAATATAAGTTGTTTTGAACTGAGGTTGTTGACAAAAACGTGGAAAAAGACGTGGAAAAAAAAAAACAAGAACAAGAGAGAAACGATCCAAAATGTGGACGACTAATCATACTAGTTCTGTACTACCATTCAAGTAAACTTAAGTTTTTTACACAGCTCGAAATAAACAGTATTTAACCAGCTGGCAAATAGCATGAAATGTTTTTTAGCATCACGCGTCGTTGACACGAAACTATATTGTACGGATGTTAAAATACAAGTAAGGATATTGTGCTGTTTTCGCACACGCGAAAATAAGACAGGAACTGTGATTTAAAACTAAGATCATGTTTTTTCAAGATATAAATAATGGAATACTTTTGTACTTTCAATTTTTGCCACCTATTCACCTATTTTACCAATACAACGCTGCCAAATTGGTAACGGAAGGTAAATCCACCAGCGCACCAAAAGGGGTCTCTTTCTACAAACATGGTATCTTGAGTGGGTTGGGATCGAGGTTGACGTCTCACTCACCCCATCAGTCTAAGTCTGTGCAAATCAAAGTGTGCTCAGATGACAAGGCGAGCTAACACAGTATTACAGATGTTTCAGGGGTAAGATGATAAATTTTAGAGAACCTCCCATCAAATAGGTTTCTTTCAAATGGAAAAGTTCTGGCCCCTATTTTTGTGAAACAGAAGATGCATCGATTGGAAATTTTCAGTATGTTCCGTAGCTTAGACCTTGCATGTCTTTGGCTGCGAGAAATCATTAATTTTTTTCCCATAAATCGGTAATTTTTGGCACCATTGTGGACTGCGGTTTTTTCGACTGACTTCGAAAATGAGTAGACGCTGAGGTTTAATTAAACAACATTTTGCACTAGGAGCCCCGCATAGATCCTAGTGAGATTATTTAACGATGGGCGAAATGGGAAATTTGTAACGACAGAATATTCTAGGGTCTAAAACAGGTAGTGGCTGTCTATTGAACATCATCCGCAAATTAAGTCTGCGAACAAACTCTTATTAGCGCTGGGTTAACTAGGAGTGACGAAGAAGCGAGAGACGAGCCGGTTTGTAGCTTGCGCTTCGTCGCTTAGTCTTGCCACTACGTCAATGCAAGGCTACTTTCGGGCCGATATTGCAAATGAAGCTTCAACAATTCTCTCAGTGCCTTTAACACTTCCTCTTATTAAGTAGAGAATGATATATTGATGCCTTTAAAGGAAAAGAGTAATTCATTTCCGCCTGGCAACTAATTTATCATAACACATCATATAAATATTTTTGCGGTCCCTCAGAGGAAATATCGGAAGGTTCACTGTTTTGTGTCTTCTCTTTTTTTTTTTTGGCATTAAGGTCATCGCGGCTCAATAACTAGTTAGGGAAACAGGCCCGCGCTTCTATCTCGATGTGGAACTGAGACTGGAATCGAAAAATCCTCGCTAAGTGTCAAAAGCTTATGTTATGCTAATACAACAAAAAGGGAACACACAAAACATTTAAAATTTGCAAGTAATATCAAAACAGAAACGTGATATAAATATCAAATCAAGTATTTTAATGGCAAAGCTCGTCCACTTGTAACAACAGTATATCATAAAGGTCATCATTCAAACGAGAAAAATGAAAGCTTGGAGTGCTGCTAAGTTAGAGTTCAGCGGTAGAGTCAAGAATTACTTCAATGAAATAAACTTGTTTTTCTTGAAGAATAATGCTTTTGAAGGATATTCAATTGACGTCGACAATCAAAGGGTTGTCCACAGGACGTCGTCTCCTCTCCAGAGCGAGCCAGCATGTCGTAATGATGTTGTATGTATGTTGCTGCTGTGGTATCCAACAGACCTGATAACCTTGATGAAATATTAGAGGCACGCGAGCGGATGAATAATTCGGAATTAAATTGGCTATTCTACTTTGTATGATTTTTACCATGCATCTCTCGGAATTGGAAGATTACAGAGCTTCCTACTTTCAATAAAAAAGAGGATCGGGAGGTACCCCCTATGAATTCTTGGTAAGTTTGCACCACCCAGTTTCGAAACCTTGAAACAAGCCAACAAAAAAATATGTAATTTTCCACTCTCGTTTTTCGACCTGCTGACCTCTAAAGTCCAAACTCGTTCTAAGAACTTTCTTCTGGCAGTTGTTCTCGGTCTGAGAACCTACTGCGTTTTATTGGATTGTTCATTGAATTGTTATTATGCTATGTCACTGGTCAAATAAACTTCTCTTCTGGAACATTCTAACAGGCCGTGAACGTCTTTCAGATCAACTATTATCCTAAACCCCTGCTAAGTGCCTCTAGGCAACGAGATAATTGAAATAGCATTTTATCTTTATATTGGTAAAGAAGTCCAAGGAAAAACCTAGGGGGAAATTTCATAAATATTTGGGGCGAATCGTTTAGAAAAGATGCTTCAAGATTTAATCTTAATTGATGACCGCCCGAAGTATACTGATGTTCATCATCATAAAACTCGTGACTCATACCGTTCGTGATGAACCAAGCAGCCGATCTTTCTCAGTCACTATTTTTATTTCTATAAACAGTCTCACTCATGGTCTTCTCTTTTCAAAGAGCGGGAGACAACTAGCCAAGTTTCTATCTTTTTTTTTTTTTTTATTGAGTATTTTGCCCTGAGCCGAGGATGAGCTTGATGTTTACTAGATGAACTACGACAGTTGAACCTTAATTTTATTCTTTTTCTTTCAGCCATATACAAGAGCAGTAACGTAGAAGTATTCGATCTTAATGTGGGTAGATAATTTTCCTTCATTTGTAATAAACGTGGCTTCATATCTGTCTATCGTTGATCGCGAGAGAGAGTACTATGACACTTTCTGTACGAAGTCGCATTGTAAATCTGTATACTGATTTATACGATAAAGCAAGCTTCAATAGAGATCAGCGCAAAATCTCTATCTTATCAATATTGACACTAAAGAGTGAGTAAGCAAATCTTTCGTTTGTGCTGGCTTTCTTCAACTTATGGCACCAGTTTGAATAGTGACAACTTTTTGCTACTGTGCGGAGATTTCAATCTTGTCAGCCATCTCCTCGCCCCAGTTTCCTCGGCGCCCCTTAGGGAAATTGGGGCGAGGAGACCAGAGACAGTTGACACTAAAGACAAGAGAGATTTGGACTCCCTGTCTTTTTAGTCTTCTACCAAGTCTCCATCGATCAGTGTGAATGTCGCGGGCAGTCTTATTATTTGCTTCTGCAAAATTTTCAACCTTCTCTCCAAGAGACTAGGTTCTTCACCGTACTCGTCATCACATCCAAATCTCTTTCCTGCAGGTATGAACGGTGTTGCACTAAAATCGGGCGAATTGCTCGCAATTTCTGGTCCTAAGGCTTTAATACCCATGTGTTTTTGTAGAGTGCGCACGTAGTCGGTAAGCAATACTGTTTTCTTATTGGCTTGCTTGTTGCTCTTCTGTGATTGGCCGAGCACATTTTCGCGGATAAGTTGTTGTAGCTTTCCAGTGCTCAGGGGAATGTGGGATTTTTCCCCATCAACTTCATCTGACACTTCGTTTAACTCAGAAATTGCTTGGTTTCCTGTAACATTATTCTCTTTCATGACACTGTCGATGTAAAAGTCATTTTGATCCTTTCTTACAGCTGGCTTTATTTGCCGTTGAATTTTCACAAGTGGAATGATTTTGTTCCTGACGTTGCGAACCATCTTTGTACTGTTGTTTTTCGTCGAAGTTATTCCTTCTCTGTCTTCTACAACTAGGTCTGCCTTTCTCTGAAGATCATTTTTTGTCTTTGTATTTTGCACGACTGAGGAGGTTTCTTCTACCGCGACAAAATCGACAGGAATCTCTCCATCGAAAACGTCTTTTCGATATTCACTAAGATCTTTAGGCGCAAAAACCTTATTGTCTTCGGGTTTCTTACATTTTTCACGGTCCTTAGCAAAGCTTTTTTGTTTGGTGCCTTTACGATCATCTTTTTGAACGCTGGCAGCCTTGCTTTTTCCTCGAATTACTTCTTTGGTTTGTGTACATTCATTTCTTGTTTGTTTCGAAACCACACTGAAGATTTTATCTGTTGAATTATCTTGTACTGGAAGGATAAGCTCCATCTTTTCAATATTTGGCAAAAGTCTTTTATACGTGTTGTCGACCTTTTTCTTTTCAATAAATTCCTTAGACCACAAGCTGGCTGTCTGGTTGAGTTCTATTGATGGTATATCATAGTGACATTTCACCGAACGTGGTAAGGTTGCATGAGAGTCGCCTGTCCTCATATCAAACTCCCTGCAAGTGAATGGGCGAAAAAAGAAAGCAGGGAGAGGCATTGAGAGACACTAAATCTTTTACGTGCATGATTGATTTTCAGCCATGCATCAAGACTACGTGCAGTCTCTCCTTTTCGACGAAGTCCATCGCACGAGTCAAAAAAAAAATCAGTGGAAAATCAAAATTATGTCGGGGCGCGGCGCGTACCTCTGGCCTACTTTTTGGTGCGCCTCTCTCTCACTCCAATAATTTTTTTCCCCACTGATTCTTTGTGACTCGCGCGACGGACCTCGCCGAAAAGAAGGCTTCAAACCTTAATCTCCATTCTTTCAGTTAACATTTAAATTAAATCCTAATTTAGATCCGCTCTGACCACAACCAGAAATGGATAACTGGATGTATTTTTTTTCTATCATCATCAAACTTTGCAAAATGGCATCTGCACGAAAGGGCACCATACCTAGAGGTACTCCAACACCACAAGACTTTGGGAACCTTGCCTTAGCACGGCAAAGAAAAATAAAGAAATAGAAAGAAATTGCATACTTTCGATGTTCCCCGTACGATTTGAAGGTAAAAAGATTGCAACTGGGAGAATTTCAGCTCGTAAATCTGCCATGACAAGGTGATAATATCTAAACGAAGATAATACGCTTCATTTATCTGTGTCTGTTTTTTTTCGCGTAAGATAAACACCTAAGTATAAGAAACATTCATTACTTAACATCACATTTTTGCGACTGGTGAGTCTTTGTCGTGTTTGTCACCGCTGTCCCTTTTTATGCACCGATAGTACGGAATCTTTGTTCAGACTTCCTTTACCTGTATTTCGGCTTTCCTTTGTAGTTCAAACTACCCTTGGTCATGTTTATCCTTGTATACACGCCCACGGTGTCTGCCAGTTGCATTTCTCGTTGTTTCACACCCTCCAATTGCTCTTGTCTTTTAGCATTCAAGCGCTTGTTTCGTCTTCTTAGAATTTCGCGTTCTACAACCCGTGGAATAAAGGAGCCCTCCTTGAATGTTAAATTAGACTGGAAATTGATTAGCCTGTTTCCGTGATCTCTTGTAGCTTCCGGTGCCAGAGGCCGACGAATGCTCTTGATGAGCCGACAATCACTTTGCGCCTGCATCCCGCGTAGAGACACGAGACCACTCGCATTCCCAGCGATAACACTTCCTGGAGGTGTCGCACCTGTGAGAAGTTGATAAGTAAAGGCGGTTATTTTTCACAGCCAAGGGTGGCAAAGAGTCCAGGACATAGGTCCTTTTTTTTAAAAGCATAATAATCATGATCATGGCAACTTAAACTTGTCTGCCGATGATCAATCATTGAAAGTTCAGATGGAATTATAGACAAATCTTGTTAGTGCATCTTCAGCGTGCGAGCAATCTTAGGAAGGCGAAATTTATAACGACGACGGTCACAAAAAATAATACTCCTTCGTCGCCTTACCTTGACAAATTATCTTTGCCGTCAAAACTTAGTAATTCTTTTCTTCTTCAACCGACAGAGTCTTAGGAGCCCGCACCAATACTCATTTTGACGCCTCAAACGATTTTTTACTCCACCAAGAAAACTTCGAACTTTGTCGGAAAAATTGTAAAAAGATATTATCTTTTAAACTAGAGCTGACGACCTTTTGGTTTTGTCCTGTTTCTAATGCTTCGCTATTTTACGAAAAGCCCCTTCCATTGGATCGTTTGCAGATTAATTTGAATTTAAACTCCTTCAGCCGCTCTCACCTTCCTTTTGAGAATTCAAATGATGAACAATTTGTTCCAAGTTACTTTTTTCTTGCCTTTGTCTTTTAAGATTTACTTCCACCTTTTCTTGCAACACCTTCATTTCTCTAAGCAGCGAGACTCTTTCTTTACGAAGTCTCCCATAACATACTTTTTTCGTTGAGCCAGCAAAATTTTTGCCATCCAAAACATATTCCCGACGAAGCCGGGGCGACCTCGGCAGCCCGATTTGATCTGTTCTTAACAATTTTCCTCCCGTATGAGCGAGCAAACTGTTATGTTTCACATCGAAATACATGTGCAAAGAGTTTTCAGTGAGACAACTCTCAGCGTGACTGTTGTTTAAAGCGTGAATCTTTCATAGATTTTGCACGCAGTGAATTGTAGAAATGTACACCCTTTTTCTTAACTGCTATCATTTTATATGAAGAATGAAGGGTTTGTCTTTGATTGGCCGTCTTCAGGAGCTAAAATCAGAGGCTTTTTTTTGTAAATGCACTGAAATTAGCACTCAAATCCTTCTGAAGGTGCAAATCGTACCGCGAATGTGTTTCTTTACACTTCATAGTCTTATGAATAATACAAGCAATTATTTTGTTATTTTCCATCTGAGCTCTAGAGGACATGGTGCTATTAACGAAAATTAGAATTAATTTTTTACCAAGGTGACTCTTACGCACTTTAACTGAAAATAACATAAAATAGGTATAAAAAGAAAAGTATCAGTCGGAAATATAGACCGTATACACAACTTCGCCTCTCGCAAATTATTTTCATAGTTCAAAGTTTCGCACCGTTTCCTAAAAAAATCCATTCTCGAAAATTAAATAAGCATGAGATCTTTTTAGCGTAGGCAATAACACTTTAAAAGTTTTTAGTGTTAATCTGCTAATAGCGACATCGGTAAGCCACAAAGGTGAGTGCATAATCATTTGTGTTTTCAAAATAGTTATTAGCTAAATTGCTTGTTTAGATGCTTATATGGTATCACTTAGTTCAAAATAATTTAAAAGCTTTCTTAAAGAAAGGCCCTGAAAGATTTTTATCTTTCCTAATGTTGTGGTTCCATTCACTTCATCAGAACCAATAACCTGATAGAATAATTTTCCCGTGTTTCAATTTGAATTTCATCATTGTTCATATTTAAAGTTAAAGCTACTTTGGTGTAATTGCAGTCTGACAAGTGTCAATATTTATTTTGTTGTGTGTCAGTACCGACATTTGGTGAAAAAATATCAAATGTATACATTTAAAATTTTCTGCAAAACAGTCATGATGTTTTGGACTCCACTAAAGTTTGTCTTGGAACCACACCCTTTCTTAAGCAATAGTTCCTCATACCGTCGTCATAGCTCTCATCCGGGGTATCGTAAATCAATTTGTTTACACTAAGTTTTCAGAAGGAAGATTGTGGCTAAAATCAAAAGCTTTCAACACAGAGTGGGTTGTTTTCTACTGGTAACGGCGAGTCAAGGTGATAATAGAGAAAATTTTCCATTTTAGATCATGTATCATGATTGAAGGGTTCTATCTAGCAGGAGGTTGTAAATGATCAGTTCGCAGAAAATCCTATGCTTTCAACCGCGTGACACAAATTCAAAATTGCAGTTCCCTACAGGATCGGAATGATTACTTGATCTGAATTAGGTGACAAGGATGTTAACATGCACGTTAAACGAGTTCTTCCTTTGATCATAATGTGCCCTTGTTAGTAAAGCATCAAACGCTGCGCAGTCAGGATGCGCAATGGAAACGAAAGAATTTTGCTAAATTATCGATTTAAACCGCTTCCATACGGGGTTTTATCGCATAAGGAGAGTTCGAGGGAAAACTTTTATCTACTATAAAGAACTCATTGATCTTCATCTTCACCGAAACCCAGCTTTAGTGGATATCGTTAACAGTAAGCATTATGTGGCAGTAAGGAAGCTTGAAACCGGCTTTCATAGATAAGTTTATTTGAAATTTGGATTGCTACCTAGCCCGGCCATACAACGTTTCCTTTGATGTTAGTTCAGAGAATTTAGTACTGGATCAAATAGTTATCCCCAAATGTATATATTTTTTATTCCCATCGCTTATCTGGTCGATATTGTACTGATATTGTAAGGAGGGATTCTATCTTGGTCACTCATGAGAGTTAAAGGGTTAAGCGACAATCACAGAGGAGATCGAAATATTTAAAAGGGGGCTTTAAACGTCAAGTGATTAATTTAGTTATGCGAAATGTTTCAGAGTATTATCTGTTCTGTTGAAGGTGTTTCACGAATCAAAATCAAGTGCTATTTTTCGCGATGAGTTCGAGAGCAATCAGGAATGAACGTTGGGATACGACGCTAAAGACACATAAAAGCGTGTTAATTCCCAAAAAGCGCTGTTGGGTACAGTTAAATTCACAATATGGTGTAACTCATGAATGATCTAATTTGAGTAAGGATCTTATACTCTGGCGGTAAATTTTTACCTGTTCTTTTCTGCCGAAGATTGTACAAAAACCACTGTAGATTACGCTTGTTTTCTTCATATTCCTTGATCTTGTTCTCGCTGGTTTTTTTCAGATTTCCTATCGTGAACTGAAGAGAACCAAACTCACGGCGATCTCTACACAAAAAAGAGCGTTTGGCAGCTTTTTTAACTCTAAATATATCAACAGCCTCTTCTCTAAAGCGACTTTCATTTAACTCTGTGATCTGCACGGTATTTACCGTTGACACACTCATTTTCTTCTTAGTGAGAAGTTTCAAATGAGAGTTTTGTTTATGATGCATCAATAATATATTTTTCGCACCGGAAAATGTAATTGAAGTTGAAGTAAATGGGCACATAAACATATCAAAACAATTATTGTGTGTCTGAATGTTACTTCAAAACTCTACATAACAGAAGCAGATGTTTTTTTGTGTTTTGACTGAACAAAGCACAATTTAAATCCATGATTTATGAACAAAACAGGAAACTTTCAAAATACTTTTTTCGTACCTCATTTTCCGGAAAATGTAATCATTCAAACAATAATAGTCTAGACTTTGCTTTGAGTTTCAACCCATAAAATAATTCGTTTTCATGTTGTTAATATAATTTTGTTGAGGTAATTGATAATCCTCTTCCAATTTAGTTTAACACGGATGAAACAACAGAAAAGGTAATTCTTTCACTTCGTAATAAATTTCAAGCGGTCTTAAAAAAAAACGGTAATTAACATGCATGTTAGGTTAAGTGAAGAAGATAACGAGTTTTTCTTTTAGACGAACACTGTTCAATTTTCTTAGCACCACCTTTATACCTTTTAAAGCATAAACGGTAGATTTAGTTTTTAACTCCTTCAGGGGTACCATTGGTATACAGCTCTTTTATGAGCACCAGTGCCATTTTGGGGTTGTTCCGTTCTTGCCAAATTTAGAATTCTTTCCCCAGTTTCCTGTACAGTACAGCACAGCCACGAACTTTACAAGAATTTGTTGATTAATCTAATAAATGAAGCTTTATGAATACCGTGTCTAGTGAGAAGTGAACGTAAAGTAAAGGAAATGTATGTAGGATAAATCCGTTCACAGAGGTAACAAAAAAGCTCGATACCTGGCGTGTAACATTGACGGTCCCAATACACACACTTGATAGTTTCTTCGAGAAGTGTCCGAATCGTGTTTTTAGGTCGATCGTTTTCTGGCATTATGAATTTCATCGCTGTCGGTCCTTTAGAGAGCAACCAGGCGATCAGTTTGATTACTGACTTAGGATGATTCCTCGCGCATCGCTTTTCGTTTTATATATGGCCTTAAGCTCACGAAAAATGAAAAACAGCCGTCATCTTTGAGTGAGTCTTGGTTGCCTGTGAATAAGATTGAAGTATTGACGAAAAGCGAGAAGACTGATGCTTTGATATCAAACTGACTTCGACAGTAAGAATTTACACTAGGAAACCACAACGATTTCCACCCCGAATGCTAAAAACAACTTAAGTGAAATCGCACATCCCTGCCAACGCTCTGACTTTCCCTGTCTGTCTTATTATTTTTCCTTAGGGTGACCTATCTTTGCTTTCGCATAATTTCATTCCGCTAGTCCTCCCCAATGTGCTGTACAACTATGAAGAGCATAAGATGGTTATGTCAAGTTATTGTAATTCCCCTCGTTAGGCCAAGGTGTTTTTGGGGAATGGGTTCATATAAAAATAAAATGTAGCTACTGAGGGAAAAGCCAAAATGAATCCGTAAATAAAAACCCAAGCGAATGTTGGTGAAATACTGCTTCAGAAAGATAAACACAGAATTTACAATATTTAATCTGGCTTCATTTTGTATAATACAAGTATAAATATAGATTAATTCATCAATTTCACGACTCTTAAGTTACAAAATCAAATGACATCGATACTCTTGTTTACAGCAAATAACCTCTGTGAAGGGAGCCGGTCGTTTCGCCTATGAGTCGTTTGCTAACTACCAGATTGTTAACGTCTTAGGTCGTTTCGCTAACTTCTCATTGGTCGTTTTGTTAACATATTGTAAAACAGTCAGTGATTCAATCGCCATAACACTGCTGCCCAACTCCTTAAGATTTGTGCGTGTATTAACGGTTCAGCTAGTTCTAAGTTATTTGAAATTAGCTCAAGTTTGTAATAAAATGAAGCATCAGATGCGCAATTCTCATCTCTTGCTAACATCCATTTCCTTTCCAATTTGTTAAGAAAATTTGATGACATATCGATCGAGATAGATGCTTTGGAGGAAAAATTTATCCACTCTCATCACATACGGGATGTTGAGTTATGTTTTAATTTTGTGATAAGAAGCTGCAATTAAGTTGCTTCCTGAGAGGTACAATGGCTAAGAAATATAGCTGGTTTTATCAACGTCATTAGAAATCTTGTCTGGTTTCGAAATTTTGCGGGGATCGCTTGATTCTGATTCCTTGTTGGTAATTTGTTTTTCTCCTTCATCATCATCTTCATTTTTCTCCTCACTTTTATCAGAATCTTCATTTTCAGATTTTTCCGTTTCCGAGGCCGGAGATGTGTTTTGTTCCTCTTCTTTGTCCGTGGAGTTGGCAGGCTTTTGAATGTCGTCAACAGAAGACTTTTCATTTCGATCTTTAATCGAGGCTGAGGGATCCTCGCGATATTCTTTTGGTGAGAGGCGAGAATTTTTTATCCTTTTATCGAAGTTATTATCGTGAGCGCCTATTTCTTGCTCTTCATGCTGCCAAGCTTGCGCCTGGGACTGAGTTGTTCTGTCCGCTACTTGAATCAAGTTGGATTCATCCTCTATAACTTCAACGTCATCTTCAACTTCTCCATCGTGGGTCTCGTCCTTGTTTGGCACGTGAGAATTCTCGATGGAAGTCTTTGCGTCTTCTACCTCCTGGAGCACTTCCTCTAGAATCTCTTCCGCCGGAAGTAGGTCTATTGGTTTTTCTTCCTTCGTTTGACGGCTATCCCTAATTTCAGCTGCTTTTTCTTGTTGTAAACCACTCGCTTTGAACACACTGTCAGCAACTGAACTAACATCATTGTCATTTTGTTTTATCGGCAGAGCAACGTACTCTTGAACGGGAGTATCGCCCTCAAGTTGTGTAGGTGGTGAAGCAGAGATGGTGAAACTATCTTGGATGTCTTGTGATGCACGTAACAGTGACGTGGCCAGTGGAGGGCCTGGGGACATGTTAGAGATAACATCACGAGGCGACTCCACGATCATAGAGGTGACACTTGACTGATTGCCAATTGAGTGTTCCATGGATTTGTTTTGTGCGTTGGTTTTTGTGGCCTGCAGTTTTCGTTTTGAAATCTTCTTTGGAGACGAGCGTCCTACTGTGTTGGTTAGTTGTCCGTTGCCGATCAAAGGCAAGAAAGGCCCTCGCGGACTTTTAGAAAGTAAAGAGGAAGCCACGCCGTAATTCACGCGTTTAAACATCCTCCCTCGTTCCACAGCCACGTAATTTTGTCCACTGATCAACTGGGAGGGAGCGAAAACCAGCTTGCCTTCTATTGTGTACAATACGATGGCAGCCGCAAGGAAAACGTGTTCTTGCACAATGCCTAAAATCTGTTCCATGCTTTGCTGAAGGCGTCTTTGAAGAACAATCTTGACGCTCGGTTTGAACACGTCTCCATTACAAAACACGTGGATGATCTTTAGGTCTCTTTTCGCCCATTCGTAATCCATTTTGTGCCTTCCTTCGGCCACGATGACGGCTTTCCTGGGGGAAAAGTTCGCCTTTCGTGGAGGGCGAGGCTTTCTTATGCCCAGATCTGCATAGTTTAGCTTTTTAAAACACTCCCTCCCTGCAGCCACGTATACGCTCTTATTTTTGATATTCTCCAGGCTCTGAACTGGTCGCCCGCCGATCGGTGTACATATTTTTCGCACGGCGTTAAAGGCTGAAATGTGCATCGTTACCTCGTCATACAGAGCCTCCATATTACGTATGTGGCGTCGGTTGATAACAAGTGTTTTTCCAAGAAAATTGGGGTTACCATTCTTGTAGACTTTGACAGTCACTGTTGGATTTAACGACCACGCTGTCGCTGCCATTCTGGTTGCCTATCAAGAGACGTTTCAATAACAGTTTTTAACCCTTTATACCCTAACAACGTTAGTATATACATATTCTCCGTACTTTTCTCTATACATTTCATAAGATGCTGACAAAGAGAATTTGTTGTTGAATCAATTGAGTTCTTTAGTTGATAATAATTTCCTCCATAATCACGACCTTGCTCTTGAGACGTTATATTGTGATATTGTTAAGGAGAAAGTAAATGCTAGTCACCCTTAGGGGTCAAATGTTTAAAGGACACAAATTGGAGAAAGCTTATTAGGTAGAGTGAAGGTCCTTAAGCTTACAGTGACCCGCGAGTAGTGACTACAACGGCACAAGAACATACAACCGGCCTACGCTGACTACACTTTTCCATGATATTTGGAAATATTAGACTTCACAACGTAGTTCATTATGATAAGGGACGCTTATCTGAACGAATTACCTCATGTCGTTAAGAAATTTCCTGTGTTTTCTTATGCGTTTGATTCGCTGTTTTCATAGTTATTTTTTTTGGCAGAAGAAAAACATGTCATTATGTTGCTGAGACTAATCTTCCTTTGTCAACGTGATTGACAGCTACTTTGCGGCTGCCATAAGGTAGGTCAATATTTTTACGTTCTTTGGTCTCCAAGTAAAGTTCAACCAGAACAAATCAGAGCGAAAGAGTATTTTTGTATCATTAAAAAACCATTTGTTGTCCTTATTTCATGAAAAATTTTTGAGTAGCAGTGATTTTTATCTTCCTTCGGGTGCCTGTCTTCCTTTGCTGATACCGCTTTTGATAAAGCGAGAGTTCCATGGTTCCAAAGACATCTAATCAAACGTTGGCTCAATTCTGTCAGCAGAGGCTATGTTTTCAGTTTTCTAACTGCCGGAAAAACCCCGACAGCAACAACGGGTAGAAAAAAGATGAAATTGAAGACTTGCCAAAAAATGAAATAGGTATTGTTATTCTCTGTGGTTTCATACTCGTATTTTCAGCAGCCTAGGGCCTATTTATTTTTTTGCAATTATGAAGATTAAACTTGTTTATGATTAGCAAAATGTGACCACAGAAGCTTACCTTTTGCGACCGCGAGGCGCTGAGCTTTTGTTCTTCCCTGTCAAATGGCGTTTTTGAGACTTCTTTGCTTCAGTCAAATAAAATCTAAACACAAATAAAAGTGAATTATCATACGGTTATGTAAAATTTTCGAATTCCTGCTTAAGGTATAATGTTCCTTGACGATGTGCTACTCGAAATGATCGTCGTTCTGCTCAGTGCATTAATTGCCGAAGCGGTTCGAACATCAATTCTCAGCAAACGTCAAAATGATAAGCCACTCTTTTCGAAGGCAAAGCATCAATATTTAAGTGTGCTAACTTTTTACGATAACAATTTTACTAATAAAAATAAGACAGCGAAACTGTATATCCGATCATAAATCGAGAAAGAAAGATTTAAGAACTCAGGATACGATAAAATTATTTTCATGTAAATTCAATTCGACGTGCATCATGACTTGAAAGAATCGTGCAATTTGTGATTTCACCCAAAGCAAATTTCATGGCGATTTTTTGCAACACATTCAGAAACGCTGCTTATTTGATACGCATGGAACAAAAGTATTCAAGGTTCGCTCCTGTCGTTTCTGTATTACTTAAGCAATCACGACTAAATTCTGCCTTTTGTCCCGTTAAATTCTAATTTTTTTTAAAAGCTTCGAAGGACAGCTGAAATATGAAGGACCAGCATGGAAATGAAATCCAACCTTACAATATCGAAAATTTTTCAGACAAACTTACCTTTTAAAGGTTTTGTCCTTCTTTGCTTGATTCGTGAGCTATATCAGTTGTTTTTGCTATATTTTGATAACACTAATCGTCCGGATAGAATTTAAATCCTGTGTTGAAGAAAGCGTTTACATCCAACATGGCTGACATGGCCGTAGCTTTCAAAACAACTGCCATATGGAAATTTGCGATCAATTTTAAATGATGGTCGGAGGATTAATTGTTTACATGTGAAAAGAAATTAAGACAAGAAATTGGCTCAATATTTTCCAGATGTTAAGTTCAGTTTTTCTCATGGTTTGCCAATATCAGAAGAGTTTAGACGGTTTTTTTTTCAACTTATTGGCAGTTGATTGTACGTGTGTAAAGAAAAGAAAGAGTCGTGTTTCTAAGGTTACGCGTACATAGCAACTTGCTACTGACAGGCTATTGACAGAGAGAACATTTACGCAGTAAAGGTTATAAAAAATTGTAATCGCAACTGTCTGTAAATGAAAAGATGTTTATCTTTTAAGATGCAATCACTTGGAAAATAATCCTATCATAATATGTCGTGTGATATATGTAAATCTGAAACTCGTTTTCCGAAACAATCCTAAACTAAAAATGGCTTTCTTTTTTGATATTTTTGCGTCTGTATCATGTTTCCTTTCTTGACAAAGCAAATCCATCTAATAACATTTGTGGTTTGACAGTAAGGGAGATGTACTAAAGATGACCGAAAGGTTAGCTTATTAATGTTGGTCTGCTTGTGGAAAAAAAAAGTTGTTGACCCAAAATGGCGGACGTATTTCTTTATGGTTCAGACTGCCTCATTTCTGAGAAAACGAAAATTGTCATCGCAAATACTATTGACGTCGGCCACACTTCATCGGAAACGAGAAAGACCTCGAAGCGACCTCGAAAATTTTGGTTTAAACCACGTAGAACAAGTGCAAGGTGGGAAAACAACTTGAGGAAAAAATCAACCAAAATGAAGTGGCCCATATTGGTCGAAACTCAAGTGGCTCTCACTCTTTACTATTTGTCAGATAAATGGGTTCATTGCTGTCCGAACAGTTTGTGCTAAACTTTCCGAATACTTAGGCCCAATATATGTAAGTTTACCTACTAGCGCGACCAATGAGCGAGGAGTGGAGGAATTAGTTAGCCAATTCTTTTGGGAGGAATATACACGAACGATTCCACGCAGAAGTTTAACTTCGTCATCTCAACAATTTAAAATATGCATCTCAATTAACTCTTCCCTTTCTTTTGGCAGCTTTGTAACCACTCATTCAAGAATCTTTGTGGATTTATTGACGTATGTAAACGATCGGGAATTAAGTTTTACGAATCGATAACCCTGAAGTTGATGAATTCGTTAACATTTATGAATCCGAAAAAATCTCCTCTAGTGTGCACCTGGTCTTAATTTAAAGCTTCTTAATATGGTGACTTTCAGGTTTATTTGCTACGACTTTCACAACTACTCCAAGCCTCTTCCGCTCGTCTCCATTGACCGGCCAAGAGCTTTGAACAAGCCATCATTTCTCGACTTCCCTACCTACGTAGATACTCACTGTATCCTAGTCATAAAAGTATTAAAGCATGGTCGCGAAGTAACAGAAACATTTTCACTGTGTGAAGTATCAGAAAATCCCATTATCACCCAGCAATGATTGGTTTAGTAGATGAAAATCTTATAGCATTGTAGATAAGGCTGCAGTCTGGTTGTGATTAGAATTTGAAAGCCAACTTGAGCGAGTTAAAAACATTTAGGTTCTCAATCTTTTTACTTTTACTCTCTGATAGAGATTTAAACAGCTTTGTAGCTGCCTCTCAACATTTATATTTTATACTAATAGTTAAATTTTTTCATAGCATCAACCTGCTAGTTTCTGTAGCTTCTAACTTTTGATTTTCAACCTCAAGAGAAGTGTACGTCCTACGTAGTGCATTGTTTGACGTAAAGGCGACACTGTCCGCTAATCTTATCACTCACTGGCTACGTGAGATTTTCGAGTCTAAATTCACTTTCTTTTCAGTATTGTCTTCTAAACATGTTCTGGCTGCACTGGCAGAGGTTTCTTGATCACATTCATTTGTCTTGAACATCGTGCTCAGTGGAAATCGTGCTTTCATTGAGGTGAGTCTTTCCAGGTAGTCCCGTTTTCCGTGTAGTATGGGCCTAAGTTCCAAATATGCATTTCATGGTTTCTTCGATCTTTGCAAACTGGCTTGTTCTTTCGTGTGCATTCCATACATACATACTGTAGAGTGTCTCCTCGCCATGAGTGAGCAAAATGACATCGAGTTGTCGTTCTTATGTCGGCAGAACTTTTGCTTGTATGAACTTTGCATTCTCTCGATTTCTCGGCACCAAGGACCCAAGCACCATGATGAAGTTTTCCTGTTTTATCGATGTACTTAGGTTGAAATACTTTTTTATTACTTCCTCGGGTTCCTTGTACGCTTTTCCATTTGTGACTTTTTGTAAGCAACGAGCCAAAAGCTTCACCTGATTGCTGTCTGTTGGTTGCTTTAGCCATGTGCTCCTCTGATCGTTCGCTGCCATGTTGTAGTGCATATGCATATGAGGTCGGCAGCGATGTTGTTGCTTGGAGATTGACGCAGTCAACACTGACCCAAGATGACAATCCTGGAGGAACACTTGCTCTAGAAGGAGAGGCAAGGTTCGAATCAATCAAAAGATTTTCACAGGAATCACTTGGTGGTGCGTTTAGAAAATGGGGCATAGAGGTGCTCATCGGTTTGCCTCTCTTCTCTGGCCAATCACTTGAAGGAAATTTCGGAAAGTCATTTGAGAATTTATCTGGGCTCTCCAACTTTTCATCACATACCCCTAGACTCCGTTCTGTATTTGGATACTTAAACTCAAGAAATTTTCTCTTTCTTGTTACAGCCGCACCACTGCTGTCTTTCGGTTTCGCAGAGATGCTTTGATAAAAATTTTCGCTGGTTTTGCGGGTCATGATTTCATAGGTGTCACTGTCGACTGGGTCATACGCATAGGGTCCGGCAACAGAAAAACCAATGTAGAACCACAAGTCATCTTTACTTTCCTTTGGATAACGTGTGTCGTCAAAACGGAGTTGAATTCCTTTATACGTTATGACACCTTTGAAGTTGACGTCTTTTTGACCACAGACGCGTTCCAGCTTTTCAGAGATTTCTTTACTTCTCGAAAAGTCAGTCTTCGTTTCCCACTTTGTTTCTAGCCATCGAAATTCTTGGCTGTTTACAATGGCGTACAAACTAATTCCCTTCCCAAGAAAGTACTCAGCCCCAGACTTCCGAAAGCCTATTCCTGTCTTGTCTCTAACAATTTGGTCACACTTCTTAATGGAAAGCTTTGCAGATTGACTCAACGAGGCTAGGCTTCCATTAGGTATGGGAAAATGGATCATATAATTGAAAAGGTGAGCCCATTCGGAGTTGGGATACTTCGCAACCCACTTGCTGACAATTTTGTCCAATTCTTCCACAGATGGTCTTTCTTTCAGACGTAAGCAAGCCTTGCAACAAATTAACAAATCATCGTGGCTCCCAAAACCACGGACGCAAAGCTCTTTAAGCAAATTATACACCGAAGACACTTCAGCATCACTAAGGTTGGACCACGAGCTGTATGGCGTTTCGTCATGCATGAAAAGGATGTCTTGCACCACCTGTTGGTAAAGACCAGGTGCATTACTCAACAAAGGTGATGAAGGCATTGGTAGTTCGACATCACTTAGATCGCTTTTGTCGAAACCAGTAACTTCATAGAAGGTTCGTCGCAGTTTGGATGCTCTAATTTTTGCATTATTCAAGCCTCTGATCTCCTTTTCATCATAAGTGGTCATCTGTCGGAGCTTGACGTCTCGAAATAATTCGTTAAATAGATCAAGTGCTGTAGTGCTGAGACCCTGGACATAGTTGTGATCCTCAAGCTTAAGTGCGTTTTCAGTCAGCTCTTTGGGTATTTCACCGTTCTTTAAATATCTTGTAAATCTCTTGCTTTCGATACGGAAACAAGGTACCCCTTTGACAATCTGAAGAAGAGATATAATGGCTTGGATTTTTCCAATCATCGAGTAGTGATTAAGAGCGTGCGAAGTGCTTAGTGCCTTGTCATACACCTCAAGTGCTTTACGACATATATCGATCACTGTTGGCATTGAGCAATGAAGGTTAGGAAGATCCTCCGGCATGAAATCTCTGAGCTGCAGTAGGTACAAAACACCTTTGGTTACGTAGTGGTGACTGTACTTTGGCTGCTGATTTATGGCAATGTCCACTGCAACGTGAGCTGTTTCAATACCAGTTTGGGGTACAGCAAATTTGGTGTATTCTTCTAGGTTAGAACTCATGGTACTGTGAAGGCGATTATGCAAGCTATCTTCTGGATCCATTTCTTTTGCACGCATCTCATAACCCATGAATCGAGCCAATTGTTGCCACACGTATGCTCTCTCCTCAGTTTGGGAGGCTTTCTGGCAAATATTGATCAACAATTTCAAAGCACCTCGAATACCGTTGACTCCTTCCAAGACGTCCATTAACAAAGGAGAATACCTCGTGCGCACTTCATAGAAGCCAACGACCTCGCTTTCGAAGTCAGAATCTATACTGCCATCGTCCTCTCCTAGATCTTCGAGAAATACTGGATCAGAAATCCGTTTTCGATCAAGGAAAAGCTTAAAAACTTGTTCCTTCAAAAACTTGTTTACGTAAGCCTTTCCTTTGTGTATCTTCTCCAAAAGCAGTATTGCGGTGTCTTCGATGTTCATTCTTGATTTTACAACTTCACTGACCAAGGAATGTGCTGGACGCCAGCCATAGTAGCCATTTGTTTCATTGAAATCGTCAAGGAGGAGCCCACCGAAGATTTTGTGTATGTGCTCCATGAGTGCGCAACCTTCTCCAGTTTCATTACTTGATTCATAAAGGAAGTCGCTGGTGACTGGGTGGGGAAGTATGGCACGGCCACCGCTGTAGTAATGAAGAAAACAGCAGAAATTGAGAACCGTCTCGTGAATTTCTAAAGTATCGCCCATAAAGTCCAAGGTGCTATTTATATGGTTGTGGAGTCTCTTCTCGATCTTGTGGTATTGGCGTCCAAAAAGTTCCAGCCCAAACCAAATGAAACGCCTTTCGCGTTCGAGAACCTCTTCTGCCCCCTTTCTTCGTTCGTTGTCACTCGTGATGTTGATTAGAATATTTTTCACGAGAGACATCTCATTCTCATCTAGCTGCCGCAATGACGGTATTTCGAAGCTAAAGTTTTCTGTTACTTTGCCAATCGGGAGCGTTGAAAGAATGACACACTTGGTCTGCCTTTTCATTATCTTCTCTGTCAACCGTCTAGTATCGTTCTCAGGAAAGTTGTCCACCAAAACAAGAGCAGGCGGTGAAAAATTTACATTCTTTTCATCATAGGCAACTCCCTGGAGTTTTTCAATTTGGTAGTCTGTTGCTGGTGTTATTGCCTTTATAACAGCACAGCGGTATTCATTTCGTTTCTTCCAAAGAATGCTACGGCACATGGTGGTTGCACCAGAACCAGGCTCGTAATGGACGGTGACAGTCTTGACGAAGCAGTTAAGGTCCTTACCAGGTTTGGACAAAGACTTCAGTGCATGGTCAATTTTCAGACTCGTCTCTTCTTCCAGTGTTCTGGAGATGCAATGGCTGTGGAACAAATTTATCTGGCTTGCTTGTGCACCTTTATAAAAAGCATTTCTTGCTCTCTCGATTTCTTCCGCTAAAATTGGAAGTTTAGGATTTGGACTGTAAACTTCGAGATCATCCCATGAATGAATAACTTTCTTAAGAACTTCTTTCTGACCAGTAAAATATGGAAGTACAGTCGTGGCTCCTCTTTCTTCAAACCTGGTCGGCCCAACCATTTCCCGGACAATTTCTTCCAACAGACTCCAAGGAATTCCAGGAATAGAACATTCTCTAAGCTCTTTCTGGAGGGATGATTTTGAGGCCTTGATGAATGCGTCTGCTACATCTTTATTTTCACTTATAATTGAGATGCAACTACTTGCTGAGTTTCCAAAGATGCTGAAACAGCATTCCATCATGTCAACCATTTCTTGAACAGCGCTTTCATTAAGGCCCAGAAAGACGCACAACAACCGTCCGGGTGGAAAACAGAGCTTGTAAGCGGAGAGAGCTCGGTAAAAACAGTCTCTGCAACATTTTATCCACTCACCTTTTTGCATTTCTTCGTTTCTCAAAATCCAGGTAGTCCCTCTTGTTGGAAGAGTAAAGTCGCTCCCAGATATCCAATCAGATGGCACTTCTTTAAAGTCATCAAGGCTTCTGAGTTTCGCCCTGGGTGCATCTGTGGTTTCGTTGCAAACGTAATACAAGCCATCTTTCTTTGACGCAGCGTCAAACAAATCGAAAACTGCAAGCCACGGGATGTTTTGTAAGAAGGCTAAATGTGGTGTGCCTCTGTAATGGGGAGGCAACTTATTGGCTATGAGAATGTAACCAAAATCTTTAGAGTTCATATCACGCCATCTTTCTCTTACCAAATTGCTGAACCTTTTGGTGTCAGAATCGTCCAAAATAGGAGCACTGGCTTGCTCGACGACATCTAGATATGAATAATGCAAGTAAAGGTTTTAGTGAGGATTCGTAATGCATTTTAACATTATTATTGTTATTTATACATTTAAAACAAAAAAGTCCTTCGTATGGCTCTTTGTGAAACTTTTACAGAGAGGAGAAATTATTACCAGTTGAAAATTGTTGTTTACCGCTTTATTTACTTAGATCGATAAAAAAAGGGCATGATTACAGTTCCAAAATCTCGCTATAAAAAACTGTACACTTACTTTGTTTTGCCTCTCTCTTCCAATCTTTGTACTTCACTGAGAGGGGCTCTCTCACTTGTCTGTTGACTTCATGCTTCTTAACGCTAGTGGATGTGCCATTAGTTCGAATAGCAACATCTTCGAATTCATCTTTGTGTACCTTGAAGAAGTCACTCAAGGATTTCTTTGTGGAAGGATCTTCTTAATCTTTTGCTCCGCGCTTCGCAGTCCAATATTTAGCATAATACACATTGTCTTTGCACAATTTCCAGTCTCGCATAACCTCTACTTCGATCACGTAAAATCTCGTGCGGGCTCCATTACTTGTCACTGGGACGAACTCTATGTTGATACAGTTCTGATCTCCTCCTTTCTGAAGCTGACCTGCATCGCTTTTTATATGATCATCCAAGAGAGATTGAAAGGCTTTCATTATCTCGTCTACAATGTCTTCCACATCAAGCCCAAGAATTTCCCCTCTTTTAAATTTTGACGACTGCTCTTGACAATCTCCAACTCCAAAATAGATGATGCCTTTGCTATCGGCATTTAAGCAGGCACATATAAACTTTTTAGCCTTGTCCATTACTTTCCAAGGAAGTGCAGAGGGCTGTGCACTTGTGAGAGATTTAAACTCCACTTCCCTATTCTCTTCTGCATCAAGCACAAAGCCTTTTTCGTATGATGTGTCCTTACCTTTAGTGCCAAACAGCCTTGGAGTGCCTACATCAAGTTAACAAGATAATCTACTTTAGGTAACGGCAATACACATCGCTTAGAGATCTGATGTCAATATTCAAGTATGCAACAGTGATTGTACCTGCTGTTCGCCAACCAGCCCTGACCCACAGCAGCCCCTATTCACCCTCGATCCTTGTTTAGTTCTGAAGTACCTAATTTTGAATTAATGTTTTTTTATACTTACATTTCAGAATAGCTTCGGGAGTTTTCTGATCGCACATCTTTTCATTTCCTCCTTTTGGACCAGTTTCGCTTGTTTTTGGGATTTGCCGCACAAGGCGGTCGTCTCTGATGTCGCCGCCATCCTTTCTGGCTGGACAGATCTCCTTCTCTTCACCTGGGCTTTGTTCACCTGTGCCCATCACACTGAATTCGCTTGTAACTGGTTGGTATTTTGGTATATTTTTGTTTTCGTCTTTTAGGGTGGTGTCCTGTTTATTATCCAGTATCGTGTTCACCTTTTCTGGGCAAAGTTCAGAATCGGCGGAGGTCAAACCTGTGTAAAGATAGGAAAATGTATTACTCACGGTTACAAATGTTAAAGTTAATGCCGGAAAAGTAGTTAATATATATATTTAGCCAAGCCTAAAAGCGGAGCTCGCATTTTTTTCCCCGCACGTCTCAAGGGCACAACGCCTTGCCCCGGCCAGGACTAGAACCCGGGTCGTCCGACTCGGAGCCCAGTGCACTTACCACTGGACTACCGAACAAAGCCGTGGCGTTGGCGTGCCCGCGGTACACTTGACTACGCATTTTAAAAGTAGCACCTTGTACGGTCGTACGGTCGTACACCCAAATTTTTTTGGCTTGATGGGTTACTATTATTTTGTATAATTATGGGGCTATGCTCTGCGAGCTCCGCTATAAATGAATATGAACTTCTAATTTAAAGAAAAGGAGTACGGTTCTTTGGAAGAATTCCATAGCTTCTAAATCACACATGGTATGGGGAGAAACCTCCCCACCTATAACATTGCTAGATTTCACGTTTCAAATCTTGTGTTACCTAGACCGAGCCTTGGCAGAAATGATAATGGAAATAATGCAAGTCACAAAAATATGGCTTTGCGTGTTAACGTACCATTTAGTGTGTGTCATATAACACATGGGAAATTTCTAAGTTGACAAGAATTATTTCTTACTTTCTTCGGCCAAAGATGACATTACATCTCTGCTCCTTTCATGACCAGCAGTAACGTCCGAAATTACAGGTTCACAGTTGTCCTTTCCACACTTTTGGAAATCGGGTAAGTGATGGACGCTTTGGCGTCTATCACTTACCTGACCCTCACAGTCATTGTTGGAACCACTTTCCTTGGCTTCCTTCGACATATCTTCAGGCTGATCATTCCTAACGGTATTCGAAGCTTCCTTCTCACTTTTTGCTTTGTACGTGTTTGTGTCATTATCTTGAGGTTCCTTTGCTGTTATATTGGTTGCATGCTGTCGTTTTTGACCTAGTCATTCAAATGAAAGAGAAAATTGTTTTGTTTTTGTAACATCATGCTATCAACAAGCGCATATCGCCAAAAAGACCAGACCTGACTTTTAAGGTATTGCAGATAAATCGAGCTTCTGTCATACCTATAATTCCTAGAAACCTGTTTTAATATGGGTGGAGAGAAATTATACAAGAAAAGAAAACGTCAACAACAGTTTGACGATTGGTGAGTCGGACTCGTACCTAAAACATCCATCTGTGAACTGTTTGTGTCCAAGTATTTTACATTGCTTTCCTCTTTACTTCTTTCATCTCCATAAAATTCAGGAGCTACCGCGTCTGTTTGAAAGACTGCCTTATCTACTTCAATGGTTGACATATTCTCCTCTTTTTCCTCTTCTTGCAACACAGAGAACGTAATCTTGTTAAAATGTTTGACGTCATGATCTATTAAACGGAAGAGTGAAGCTTTTCAGACATATAGGGAAAGAAACTCGATAGCTAACAAAGGGCTTTATCAATTTTACATACTGACCGACTGGTTATTTTTCAACGGTTCAGTTCCCAATTTAAATTATCTTCGTCTACAGATGTTGCTTTTATATGAATGAAAGTTTAAAAAAAAGGGGAAGATATTCAATCATTCCATAATGGATGCATTTAGAAATAAGGAGTTTTCAAATTCCAAACGAAACCTGTAACAATAACACGACAAAGATTTTATAGTCGAATATGGTCCCAGAATTTCATATAGCAGTTAAAGAGTGTCTTCTCTTCCTGCTTAATTCAATCTTATTTCTCCTAAAACAAGTTCGTACACCCACCGATGGGTTCTTTTGGCGGATGAGGTATGCATGCTCCTTTTAAAGAGGCTGTGCTTCGTTCCATTTCGTATTCAACCTGATTGCTCAATTCATGCTCCTCGAAGACGCTGTCGTCTTTAATGACGCACTTTCTTAGACTGTGATCTTCATCGTCTCCCTGGCAACTACCATTTACCGTATCGAAGTTTGTGGGTAGAACGGTGATATCTGTTAAAAACCAAAACATGTTACAAACCTAAACTTCCTCTCATTCGAATGATATCATGAGTGATTCAGATATTTTCGCAAAAACATTACTCAGTTAATATGAACTCCAACACAATTTCTATGACATAAAGAAGATATCACGTCCTAATTGATGGTGGCTATTGCCTTGCTGGGGCATTGAATGAGTGGTGAGAGATCTACAATTACCATCACGTATAAAAAACAACATTCTACACTATCTGAGAGAAACCAAACTGCATAAGAACAAATGTTAGCTTTTTCTTAGATAGTGTTAAACCATGTTTTATATTCATGATGGTAATCATGGATCTATTACCATTTGTTATGAAGCTGAATGAATGAACTACTTCCTGTTAACCCACCAAGAGCACTTTTCTCCCGAACGTGCCCGTCCACATTACCACATGAAGGATGAAACTCATCTTCTGTTGATGTTATGGCTGGTGTACCCACAGTCAATGGAGGGAGACTCGTTAAACGTGTCTTGTCATTTTCTGATTCTTCCACTATGACATTCAATTCTTCAAAATTACCGATGTATTTACCAGTGGCTCTCCTTTCGTCAATCCCAACCTCACGACACCCATTTGCCTTTATTTCCTCTTTCGAATGATGAAGGTGTTTCTGGGTAAGGTGCGCGTTGGCAGTTTCGTCATTCTTGCCTTCGATTCCAAAGACGTCCTCTGTTTGGTGCGTTGTTTGCAAAGATGTTACTATCAGCTCTGTTGATTTAAACATTGAGATTAGCATTTAAAAGCATAGTAAAGCGACACAATATTCACTACAACCACCAGTACAACCACCACGATCACCATCGCCATCGTCGTCATCAGGTTCGTCATCATTATCATCCACAACATGAACAAAAACATTAGAGACAAATAGAAACATCGGCAATACTAAGTAAAAGGAAGGCCAAAAAGGCCACTTATAGATCTTTTTTAATATGCGTTAGCAACGTGAACCATCCCTCTAGTTCATCAGCTGTTGGTAAATCTTTATTGATCTGTTAATTTTTCCCGGCCATGGATAAATCTGATACCGAACTAAAATCAAACCTTCGAACAAACAAACCAACAACAATTTGTTAGTGTTATTTTTCTCGGCCATAGTGAAATCAGATACCGGACTAAAAATAAAAAAACATAAAATCAAACAAGATTTTGTGATTTTTATACTTCTACGCTATAGTGAAATCTGATGCCGGATCAAAAATCAAACATACGAACATACAAAAAAAAACAACAGAGTGCTCATTTGAATTATACTCACCGTCATGTTGACATTTTCCTATGCCACTCTCAACTTGTAAAGCCTTAACTTGCGCTCGTTTGCATGCCTGATAGTCTTCTTTCTGATGAAGTTCTCCTTCGCTGTGATTACTCAGTGCTATCATAGACTCGGCTGTCTTGGTATGCAATGTAGTATCTTCATCTTCAACTTTATCAGTACACCGGACTTTAAAATCATTAGTGGGTGATCTGGTTTCTTCAGTGTCTCGCTCTGATGCAGGAATCCTCTGTGCTTCGGCAGAATCTTCAACTTTTAATTTGACTGGTCTTCCCTCTCTCGGGCTAAAATTATCGTCTGAAACATTGCTATTTTTGTTTTTGGAGCTTGCGACCTCGGCAGACTGTAAATTCTTGTGGAATTGTGGTGTCTTAAATCCAAGGAAATGATTTGGTGATTCTTTGATGTAAAAAAAATATATAATAACTTTCTCAGCAAAAGTCGTTAAATCCGCCTTTTTGAATAGCGCCATTTGTCGTGAGCTAGTAACATCTTTATGAATAAATCATTTATCAAAGAAAGGGATAAACATCGACTGAATTACATGAAACATCATCATCATCATCATCCACAACAACCACAACACCAACAGAAAAAAAAAACAATAGAAACACCAGCAATACTAAGTATTGAAGGGTTTCAAATTGATGACCAAACCATTTCGACACAAGTTACTCATGGATCCCTACTTAAAACGCGTCGGCAAAGAGAGCCATCCTTAGTGGTACAACAGTGGTAGATGATCACTTAATGATCTATTAGTTTTTTTGGGCCATGATGAAATCTGATACTAGATGAAAATTCAAGCACATAAACATACAAACAACCAACAGTTTGCCCATTCAAATGACACTTACCATCACGCTGACATTTTTCTTCACCACTCGCAATTTGTAAAGTCTTGGGAACCTGATTGCTCCTCCGATGTTCTTCTTTCTGATGAAGTTCTCCTTCGCTGGAATCACCTGGCGCTACACTAGACTCGGCTTTGTTGGTAGGAAATGCAATATCGCCATCTTCCATTTCATTATGCCTGGCTTTAAATTCATTTGTGGGTGGTCTGGCTTCTTCAGTGTCTCGCTCTGATGTAAGAATCCTACTTGTTTCTACAGAATCTTCAACTTTTAATTTGACTGGTCTTGCCTCAGCCGCTTCCTGAGTGCTTTATAACAGAATAAAGTACAGGCAAGGCTTATCTATTTGTTTTATATAAAGAATCCGTTAAATTCTCCTCGCATTTCTTTCAATTTTTAAAACAAACTTTATTTCCAAAGCGAACAACAATGTCTTCAGTATGTTCTATACTCTCTTTTTAAAGCACGCTACTTAACAAATAGAGAAGCCTTGACTGTGCTCTGTTCTGTTATAAAGCACGCAGGAAGCGGCTAGAGCACGAAAGAAGTGTAGGGAGAAACACGAGACGTAGTCGAATGTTTCTCCCCACTTCTTGAGTCCTCTCTTTGATCTATTACTGAACAGACGCACGGCAACTTGGAATCTATTTGTTTTATATAATAAAGAATTAAAAAAAAGTTTTAATGATAACGTCATCTATACGTCTGTCCTCCAATAGATCATAAGTGAGAACCAATCAGGATGCGTGCATAACTGAGCTTATTATATAAACTCTCATAGAGCACGCTACAATAAGCCAATCAGAATCCCTGTTAGAATGGTTCAAATAATCTGATTGGCTCTACAAGACAAAAGCTGTCAAAAGTGTCAAACCATCAAAGTTCAAAAGCCATCAAAGTTCACAATCTGCGATAGTTTACAAACTAAAATAGTTCGGCAGGTCGATTTTAACGCTTTTGCCTGAAGTTTTTAATACAGAATCTTCAAGTGAAATGTTCAGTGAACTTCAGCCGAATTATGGCTCATAAAAAACACGCGAGTTTTTTCACATGACAAGGTAGAAAACAAACCGTTCAAGGCGAGTGTTTTTTAAATGAACGACAGCCGAATTCACCGGAACACAAGGCTAAAGCTGTCAAAAATATCAAACCATCAAAGTTCACAAACTATCAAAATTTATAATCTCCAATATTTTACAAATTAAAACAGTTCGGCAGGTCGAACTTAACACTTTTGCCTGTCTCTAACACAAAATCTGAAAATGAAATGTTCCGTGAAATCCGGTCGAATTGTGGCTCATAAAACACACAAGTTTTTTCACATGACAAGTAGAAAACAAACTGCACAAGGCGTGTGTTTTATGACTGAACGGCAACTGAATTCACAAGAACATGAAGATTGCTCGGGATTACAGCGCCGTAAAACTAGGCTGCTGTGACTGATGTGGCCTTCCACTCAACGCATCGGAAGGGATATCACAGCAAGCTCTTAGTTGTTCACTCGAAGGGCGGCCGATGTAATTGAGGCTCGCTTCATTGCGATGACCGGAGATCGCCATGATGAGCTAACTGCGATGGACCGAACCGTCATGAGTAGTATGAATTTTTAACAGTTATGCCAGGGTCGCGTCAGAGTAACATCGACCAGGAGGAGCTCTTGGTTGGGTGTTGCGTTACGGAAACTTTCGGGCGGCACGAATTTACCGGAAGTTAAGACGCAAAAAGTCAACCGTGAACTGAATGAATGAACTGTCTCGATGTGATGACGAAAACTGCCGCGTTGTCGAGAAATGGTGGTAAATTTCGATTTTACGATTTCTGCGAATTAAAGCTATGTCTATGATTTTGAGAATGTTACAAGAATGATTCGAAGCCACGAATTACAAACGACAACGAAGTTCACTTTGTTTAAAGCTCCAAAAGATTTTGGGCGGAAAGATAAACTGCAGTCCTAATGTTTTGGTGAAAATAACGCAGTTCAGAGTCGGTTAAAGGAAATTAAATGGTAATTAAATACTTTCTATGGAAGGTCGGACAGTCAAAGAGTGGAAAGTTTGTTCTTCCAAAATATGGATTAACAAATCAACATTCGAAAAATAACATCTACCTAAGGGTCACTGTTTCATTTAACATCCACCTAAAGGTGTTTTGGTTAAAGGTCTAACAAACAGGAGAACAAGTCTTGACCACATATATTAAACGCGAACTTTTTATGTCAGAGTTCTACTAATAAAATAAAAAAAAAGGAAATATATCTTTTTTGGATTGAAGCGTTATCCATGCAATATACCTGGATGCATTCATTTATTTGTAACAATGCTATTAATTTTATGGTTACATTTTTTCCTCTCAGTCTCAGGTTCCCAAAAGGTTTATTGCTTCAACACATTTTTCTACGGAAAACTATCCAAGCATGAAACAAAGTGGATAGCTAGGTGGACCAAAAAGGTACATGTCTTTGTTAATTTTTAACTTTTTTAAATTTAGAACAAACTTTTATATTCAATGCCAATAACTATTTAATTATCATAACTAAGTTGACCATCTATTTTATCCGTATATTGATATATTTGACAAAGCTGTTGTTTTAGTCCCAGTGCATCATCCTGGACATTGGGCTCTTGGGGTATGTCTACCGAAGATGTCTATTCACAGATAAATTTCATGTGAAATATTTTATGTTTGAATGTCTATTTGATTGCACCATTTCACTTTTCAAATACATTTGACACTGGACATAAAAAAGAAAAAAAGTTAGATTAATTGTTTTGTTTTTTCAAGGTTGTGGATGTCATTTGAAAGGTGATATCATATTGAGATTCTTTAAAACACTGTATTCCTCCCACCAAGTTCTTTGAGAACATCAGGTAAATTTTAGAAGACATTATTGCTTTCATAATCCAGATATTGCTTTGAGTTACATACTGAACTGAGTGACATGTGACTGTGCAATCTGTGTTGCAAATAGGAACTTTCTAGAACATTAAAGTGTTAAAGAAGACCCTTTCAAGGAGAGAGTTGGCTAAATGAAATCCCTAAGGTATAAAAATATATTTAATTAGTCACATTATTCTTTGGTTACTTTTTTACAGTTAATTAAAGCCCTGAGAGATGATTACTAATTAGTCCTGCACCATGCTAATCAAACACCTGTTGACACATTTAGTGGCAATCAAAACCAGTGAACTTAAATGTATTCATTCATTCTCTAAAAAGGAATTCTCAAGTAAAGAAATGACTTGGACTGTGAGATGTTTGTCTGTATGGTAAGAAAACACCATTTCAATTCTTAACATAATGTCATCATGCACTATAAGTCAGCAATGTGCACCTCCATTTACATATTTTTCCAACAAATAGCTAATTATCACATGATGAGTTATCTTTTAAATAAGTTTTCTTAGTAAAATTTTTCATAATTAGTATGAGACTGGTAGTTGTTGACAGTAGTACTCTTTAAACTTCCTATTAAATTATTTAGAAAACCATACAACGATGTAATGCAAAGATTCAAGTTTAGTTGCATTTAGCTGATAAAAGCAAAACTTTTCAAAGTTAGCTTGCGGAGCACTTAAGCCAAGGGGAAGTTCTAATTTTAATCAGATGAATACATACATTTTCTGTGCAGACTAGTCCTGAGAAATTTGGAGTTATATCAGGCCCACCTTGTTGATAATTTTCTTCAATCTTGTTACCTGTCTGCCTTTGAAAATGTAAGAATAATTTACATACCGACCACTCCTAGGAGTAAAAAAATCTAAAGATTTGCCTCCAATTTATATGATGCATTATCTGTTAACATAGCATTGTTACTGACACTTTTCCCTATAATGAAAAGTTTAAATGAATTTTAGGACAATCAGCCCCTTGCCCCCCCTCCTCTCCTTAAGATGTCATCATGTATCATGTTTTGCAAAATTTCTAATGATAAAACACACACTGAAGAACCTCTTATGCTAGGGCTTGACAACGAAACGGAACTAACTGCGGCCAACCTTTAGCTCAGGTCAGCAAAGGTTTCTTAAAACTAAAAAATAACAGAAACTGTTTGTGGTATCTTACCCCCTTTACACAGATGTTAATTCCCAGTGTGTCCTCCATTCAGTAGATATTATAATAATACTTGCATATATACTATGCCAAATACAACAAATATGCGATTAATTTTTCCACAATTGCATGATTACTGAAATTTTCCCTTGGAGATGAGTAGGTCAGACCCCATTGGATTACACAAAGTATGTGAATTGTAGTATACTAGGACAGCGGTTGTTTATGTAAAAGTATACATCCGGGAAAGGGTGAGGGCGGGAAGATTATTGAAAGAAACGCGTACTGTGTGTGCTGTTGTTGTTCGCCTTCGTGGCTGCCTTTTGTGGCATACTTCTTCATTTTTAGACACTACAAATTGGCGACGAGGATGGCGAATTCAGTAGAAAGGGCGCTTCCACCTCTAGATTTAACAGGGTCTTCCTCTCAGGTCGCGGAACGATGGCGACAGTGGAAACGATCGTATCAGTATTACATCGATGGCAAGGGAATTACGAATCCTTCTCGGAAAACAGCTCAGTTACTTCATTTAGCAGGTATGGAAGTACAAGATATTTACGAAGATATTCCAGATCCTGGACCACTGAATGCTAACGAGGATAATGAGTATGTGGTGTGTCTGCGAAAGTTGGATGCTCATTTTCGAGCCGAGGACAATGTACCGTACGAGCGTCATGTCTTTCGTCAACTTACGCCGACAAAGGGAGAGACCGCCGATAAGTTCATGGTTCGTTTACGTAAACAAGCTCGTCATTGTAATTTTGGTCCAACTTTGGAAGAAAATTTACGGGATCAATTGATTGAAAAGTTGCCTAATGTTGAGCTAAAGAAGAAGCTATTGGAAGTCGTTAATATTACTCTGCAAGCAGCAATGGATAAAGTTCGAAAGTGGGAAGCCTCACACGAGCAGGCAGGTCAAATGGTCATGCCAAGCCAAGAACCTGGAGCAGGTACTCATGCAGTTGAAGAACGTCCTGGGCGTGGAGACAAAGGGAAAAGCGTTTGTTTCAACTGTGGTAAAGAAGGTCATTTTGCCCAAAGTACAAATTGTCCCGCCCGAGGTCGCAAGTGCAGCAAGTGTGGTAAATATGGTCATTATGCCAGCTGTTGCAAAGGGGGAAGGAACTCGAAGCCTGGAAAACAAGGTAACAACCAACAACGGGGAGGCAGACAGCAGCGTCATGGTAAGGGGAGACAGGCAAATCATGTTGAGGGTCATTGTAACGAGTCAGGTGAGGATGACAGTTTTGCTTTTACTATAGAAGAACAGACATGTGCTATGTCAAATTCCTCTGAACCCGTTATCTCAGTGAAGATTGGTGGAATCAGCAGAGATGTGTTGATTGATTCAGGTTCTGCAAGTAACCTCATTAGTAAAGATACACTGCAGGAACTTAAGTATCAGGGGCTCAAGATTGAATTAAAACCTTGTCTGAAGAGATTGTATGCTTATGGGGGTCGAGAGCTTAAAATTGAGGGCCAGTTTCAGACAGAAGTTTCCGTACCCAAAGCAAAGGTTGTGGCAGATTTCATTGTTGTTGAATCCGGGCGTTGTTTGCTGGGATATTCGTCCGCCACAGATCTTGGAATCCTTCGTGTGGATCTCTCGGGAACTCTTGGGACAGGAGACTGTAACACTGTTGATGGTACCTTCGTGGGAGGACTCAAAGCAAAATACCCCAGTGTATTCCAGGGAATTGGAAAGCTTAAAGATTATCAGTTGAAGCTACACATTGACCCCAGTGTAACTCCAGTCGTTCAAAAAATGCGACGAGTACCTTTTTCTGTAAAGGACAAAGTAACTGCCAAGGTTAACGAACTCCTTGAAAAGGACATAATTGAGAAAGTCGAGGGGCCTACGGTGTGGGTAAGCCCAGTCGTTGTTGCTCCTAAACCGTCCGGGGACATAAGGTTGTGTGTCGACATGCGGAGAGCCAACGAGGCCATTATTCGGGAAAGATTGCCCATACCAACCATAGATGAAGTCCTTGAAAGTCTTAATGGGAGTGGTGTTTTCTCGAAGTTAGATTTAAGGTGGGGTTTTCACCAAATTGAGCTGGATCCTGATTCAAGGGATATCACTGCTTTTGCCACCCATGATGGTATATTCCGCTACAAACGTTTGAGTTTCGGTGTAAATGCCGCACCAGAGAAGTACCAGCATATCATCACCCAGTCAATGGCAGGTCTACAAGGGGTGTCAAACATAGCAGATGATCTTATCGTTCATGGTCGAGACACTGAAGAACATGATAAGAACTTACACAGTGTGTTGCAACGTCTTAGTGAGAAGCAGCTGACTTTGAATGCTGAAAAATGCACTTTCCGAATGACTAAAGTGGTATTCATGGGTCTTTTGCTGAGTAAGCATGGCATCGGCCCAACGGAGGAAAAAGTCAGAGCAGTTGCAGAGGCAAGTCAGCCTCAGACACCCTCAGAAGTCCGTAGCTTCTTGGGGCTCGTTGGATTCAGTGCCAGGTTTATACCCGATTTTGCTACCACTGCTGATCCCCTCAGAAAACTTGCAAGAAAAGGGGAACCGTTCGTTTGGGGCAAGGAGCAGGAGCAGTCGTTTCAGAGATTGAAGAGTCAAGTTGCAAGTGCACCAGTCCTAGCTTACTTCGATAAGGACACACCCACCCGTGTTATTGCTGATGCAAGTCCTGTTGGACTTGGCGCCGTGCTGGTGCAAGAAAAGAATGGGGAAAGCCGTGCCATCTGTTATGCTAGTCGTAGTTTGAGTCAAGTGGAGCGTCGTTATAGTCAGACAGAAAAGGAAGCACTAGCCTTAGTCTGGGCTTGTGAACGCTTCCACCTCTACTTGTACGGGCTTCCACAGTTTGATCTGGTGACAGACCATGAAGCACTTAAAGTCATCTATTCCAGGAAGTCTAAACCTTCAGCCAGAATAGAGCGCTGGGTTCTGCGTTTACAACCGTACAACTATCAAGTTTGCTATGTGCCTTCAAGAAAAAACATCGCAGATGCCCTTTCCCGACTGACGAAGATACCGGCGTCAGACAATTCCGCGGAAGATGATGGATATGTACGCGCGATAGCTCTACATGCTGTCCCCGCTGCATTGAGAATCAAAGAGATTGAACAAGTCTCAGCACAAGACTCTGAGTTGCAAGCACTCAGAAATTGTCTCATCGAAGGGAAATGGGACAATGCCCCAAAGCAGTATTTGCCAGTGCGCAATGAGTTGACTTTTATTGGCCATGTAATTCTCCGGGGGACAAGAATTGTTATACCCCAAGCACTTCGCAAGAGAGTCGTTAGTTTGGCACACGAGGGGCACCAAGGAGTCACAAAGACAAAGGAGAGACTTAGAACAAAAGTCTGGTGGCCTGCTATGGATCGTGATGCCGAGAAAAGATGTGCAGAGTGTTACGGGTGCCAGATGGTTACAAAGAACGTTCCACCCCCACCATTGAAGTCAACACCGTTACCCAACAAACCACGGGAAGAAGTAGCTGTGGATCTAATGGGTCCGTTACCTTCTGGAGAACACTTGTTAGTTCTCGTTGATTATTACAGCCGGTGGATAGAAGTTGATGTTATCCGAACAACTTCCAGCAAAACCATCATTCATTGCTTGGATGCCCAATTTGCAAGACATGGGTTGCCTAAAGGTCTGCGTACCGACAATGGCTCAAATCTTGTATCCAAAGAAGTAGAAGATTACCTGAATGAAATGGGGATTGAACACCGTTACACAACACCTCTATGGCCAAGAGCTAATGGCGAGGTAGAGAGGCAAAACAGGTCGCTTCTTAAGTCCATGAGAGCAGCCCATGCAGAAGGACAGAATTGGAGAGAGGAGCTAAACAGGTTTCTTTTGGCGTACAGGTCCACGCCACATTCAACCACAGGAAAGAGTCCCGCCGAGTTATTGTTTAGGAGAAAGCTAACAACTAAAATGCCTGAGCTAGTCAACGTTGAAGAGGAGGAGCTAGAAGTGAGCGACCAAGCCGTTCGTGATCGGGACAATCAGAGAAAGCAGTTTAACAAGGACTATGTGGACAAGAAGTTCCATGCCAGAGATCGAAATGTGAAAGAAGGAGACAGTGTTCTGCTTGAGAAGAAGAAAGAAAATAAGCTGTCACCTTGCTATGAGAAGGAACCATATCAGGTGATATCTCGTTATGGGGACCAGGTGGTGTTGCGATCGCCTCAAGGTGTCCAGTACAAACGCAGCCTTCAGCATATTAAGTCCTTTAATATGCCAGATCCAGAAGAACAGGAAACGCCACAACAGGACGCTAAACCACGGACTGAACCTAAGTCATTTGAGACGCCACCTGTGGCAGAGGATCAAGTACCAATGGCTGAATCACCACCAGAAGATGTACCTTCTACTGTACCTACAGCTGAGCCGCATGTGAGAAGATCCGGCAGAATTACGAGCCGTCCAAAGGCTCTGAGTGACTACGTTCTGTACTAAAACTAGTGACATTGGCATTTTCATATTACTGTTCGTTGTTATTACATGAGTGACATTGAAACGTTGTTTTATAAGCTGAACGGCCAAGGCTATGTTTATGTTTAGCGTGATTTTTGTCTTGAACATTTGGAATCGAATTGAACTTTTACGGTATCTAAACAAAGTGGAAGTTTGTTATGTTTCTGTCTTTCGAGGTCAACCATCTGAGCGAAGAAAGAGAGGGAATGTAGTATACTAGGACAGCGGTTGTTTATGTAAAAGTATACATCCGGGAAAGTGTGAGCGCGGGAAGATTATTAAAAGAAACGCGTACTGTGTGTGCTGTTGTTGTTCGCCTTCGTGGCTGCCTTTTGTGGCATACTTCTTCATTTTTAGACACTACATGAATATAACCCAGACCATGTAAGAACAACAATTGTTTCTCCAAATATATTTCTCTACTTCCGGTACAGTCGGGCTATACACGTGACATCTTTGTAAAAGGAATCCGAAAATGTGACCTCCTGATGGTTGATGTTACTTTGACATGACCTTATGCCAGTTTGGCTAAATTTTTCATTATTCCTGATTTTTTTTTTTTCCAACACAAAACTAAATATACTACACGAGTGTTAGCTATGTTTGACTTTTATTACCGTAAGAAAACTGAGCGTGAAAACCTTCATAACTTGGAATGTCCATTTTGTTTTCTCTTTTTTTCTCTGCTCATGTTATAAGAACATAAATTATGGTACTTGGCATGTTTACGAACCTTTGTTTGGTTCTTCTGTTGCTTAAGGCTGGCTTGGTTTCGAAATTTCACTTTCAATGAACAAAAAAAAAAGTACAATTTGGCAGATGGCGTAACAGCTTTAGCTCAGTTCTATGCTTTTTACTCTGATAGAGCATGCTCTTT